TAAAATGTTTATCAGGATATCAGCAACATTTTACTAGTTAGCCACTTTTTGATATCTTTCACAGAACAGAGATATATAGGCTCAAAGTGGACGATCCGGGTGTCGTTCTATTAGAGGTTTTACGGTATCTCATTTCCTGTGAAAGATATCAAGAAGTGGCCAACTGATAAAATGTCTATCATAACATGAGCAATTTTTCACCAGTTGACCACTTTTCGATATCTCTTACAGTAACTCAGATAAATAAGCTCAAAGAAATAGGTGCACACTTGGCTAATCTTCCCCCTTAAAAAAACCCAATTAGGTCATGGCCTAGAAAAAATTAGGTCATGACCTAGAAAAAATTAGGTCATGGCCTAGAAAAAATTTGGTCATGGCCTAGAAAAAATTAGGTCATGGCCTACAAAAAATTAGGTCGTGACCTAATTTTTTGTTTTTTAGAAAAAAAAATTTTAATTCTTAAATCAAATTTTTTAAAATCATGACCAATTAAAATGAACAATTCCAAATTTTTATGAATTTCAAAATTACAGTACCCTCGTAAATTACAAATTTTCAGCGCCTTCCAACCGTACGGTCTTCATGGCGGTGAGAATGGAAAGCGGGGTCTAAACCTACTCAAACGGAGTGGAAGAGCCGTGAATATTGGCTCAAAAGCTAGCTTTGATATTCACAAGGGGGTAATTATCTACTTTTTTAATTGGTCAGTTAGATCCAATTTTTCAGGACATTCTATGCATTCAAACTCCAGGCGGTGGTGGATACGGGAAGGAATGATGATGTGTACATAAATTGTGTTTTATTTTACATGATATTTAGAGATCAATCAATAAATAATATGCCATTTTTCTAATAAATTAATCATAATCGTCATAATAATCCGGGTCTTCAGAATCGTACTCGTCTTCTTCTTCTGGAATTCCACGACGATCTGATTTCAGTTCCATCTCATCCTCTTCATAGTTCACTTCAGAAGATCCAGAAGATCCCAAATCCGAGTTTTCCTCTTCGTCATCATAATGCGAAAATCCATCTCCCGAGTAGAGAGACATCGGAGGAATCTCATCCAGCAGATTCTCTTGCTCTCCAATCTCTCGAATCTCCGCAAATTGAAGTTTCCCAGTTTCGATGAACTCCAGCTTGGGCCCCACGACGATTGGCACGTCGAATGGAACGATGTCCCGCCAGAAGTGACTGCTCCATCCCATTTCTGTTTCGGATATCGATACGTCGTCGAAATAGAGACCCATTGGAATCTGGAATGGTGGCATTTCGGTGTGAAGGCGATGGATACGGTAGATGTTCTTAATGTTCTCGAATCCGCGGAATCCTTGGTCCACGAAACGGATATCCAGATTGTTGTTGGGTAGGATGTCGAGAATTTCGACGCGGAGCCATTGGGGACCCGTTTTTTTGCGATGCTCGACGGCTGCGATCGCGTAGGCACGTCCTTGGGTTAGGGCGTAGCGTCTGGAACGGAAATCAGAGTTTTTTAAAGGCATCTAATTGTAAGCCTCAGTGAAAAAATTGAACGTAAAATTTGAGAAATTACTGAAAAATTGGAAAAAAAAGAGGCTTAGAGAGTTTTTACTGAGGTGTAAGAACTTTTTACTGAGGCTTAGGAATTTTACTGGGGCTTAGAATTTTTACTGAGGCGTAGACATTTTCAATGAGGCTTAGCAAGATTTTACTGAGGCTTAGGAATTTTTACTGAGGCTAAGGAATTTTTACTGAGGCTTAGGAATTTTTACTGAGGCTTAGGAATTTTTACTGAGGCTTAGGAATTTTTACTAAGGCTTATGAATTTTACTGAGGCTTCTGAATTTTACTGAGGCTTAGGAATTTTTACTGAGGCTTCTGAATTTTACTGAGGCTTAGGAATTTTTACTGAGGCTAAGGAATTTTTACTGAGGCTTAGAAATGTTTACTGAGGCTTAGGAATTTTTACTGAGGCTTAGGAATTTTTACTGAGGCTTAGGAATTTTTACTGAGGCTTAGGCTTTTTACTGAGGCTTAGGAATTTTTACTGAGGCTAAGGAATTTTTACTGAGGCTTAGGATTTTTACTGAGGCTTAGGAGTTTCATGAGAATATCTCAGCTCAAAATTGAGCTAGAGACATGAAATCGGTACCAAAACGACCCAAATTTTCTGAACTAACATCTCCTCCTCATCCAGAGGTCTCTGATTCTTGGGACACACATAGAAATCGTCAAAAACCAGCTGCATTCGTTTGATTGTGTCGAATTGATCGAAAATCCATTGCTCATCGGCGGATCCTTCGTTTTCCTTGAGAATCGGTGTGATGTGCATATCCCATGGGGATACTGTAACATTCGTAGTGATGAATCCCCAAAAGCATCCGTCTTCCAGAAGGTACTTTTTCAGCCATTTCTTATCCCATTCCACCAGTTTGCAAGTGACAATGTCCCAGTCTTCGTCTCCTTCCTGGCATAATTTGAAATATGCTGTTGAAAAATAGGCTCAGCCCCTTATTCTTAACGATTTTTCGCGACTTTTCGAAAGCCAAATTATTTTTTTTTTGAATTTTTTGAGAAATTTTTAGACCTTTTTAAGGTTTTCAGCTATTTTTGAAGGATCTTTTTCGATTTTCCACAATTTTTGTCTGAAATTTATCTGAAATTCGCGAAGATTACTGTAGAAAATCTTGTAGTTTGTAGTTTCTTTTTTTGCAAACGCAATTACGTCAAAATGCAGATTAAAACTGTTGGAAAAAAAACTACAAATCTTCTACAGTAATCTACAGTAATCTTCGCACGAACATCATCCAAAAAAATTTCAGACATCATATTTCAGACAAAAAAAACGGGGAAAAATCGAAAAAGAATCTTCAAAAATAGCTGAAAACCCGGAAAAGGTCTACAAATTTTGCCCAAAAATACATCTTTAGCGTCAAAAGCTATTTTTAATGAATTTTTCCGATTTTTTTCGCCCAAATAGCGCAAAAAGCACCTAAAATCATACTTGTAAAATTCCGGGCCGGGCCGAGCCGGGCCTGAGGAAATTTTCAAGGCCCGGTGTCAAAAATTCTGTATTTTTGAGCCAAATTTTGAGCTCTCAATATAATTTTTTTTCCATTTTTTTTTCGTATTTTGGATTGTTTGTCTGTCTGATCAAAAAAGATCGAAAAACTCGAAAAAAATCACATAAGGGTCGGCAGTTTTCAAATTTCATTTTCTCCACTTCTAGGAGAATATAGGACTTGAAATATTTTGTGTTAAACTCAAAACTATTGGAAATTTCCTATTTTTACATTTTTTCAAAAAACATTTTTCCGGAAAAGTTTTGGAAAGTTTCAAAGCTCGCCTACACTTTGGGTGGACCCAAGTTTTCAAGTTTGTAAATTTTTTAAACAATAATGTAAAAATATGAAATTTCAAATAGTTCGGAGTATAAAACAAAAATTTCAAGTCCTAAAACCTCCTAGGAGTCAAGGAAATTAAATTTGAAAATTGCCGATTTTACACTGAAAATGTGATTTTTTTCAAATTCTAAAACTTGGGTGTTTGTTTGTTTTTTCGAAAGTACCAAGAATAGGTTATAGGTACACATTCAGGGAGCTTGTTTTTAGGTATCCGTTGATTTAGAGTGTTAAGGCTGAAGACAACAACATTGTAAGTGCTGAAAATAATTTTAAGGGCTAATACAATTTTGGGGGTGGGGGTGTTTTTCTAGAAAAATGAGTCATTTTTCTATTTTTATTTTCGAGGGGAATAAATTTCAATTCATTATAAATCGCTTCAGAAAAACGTCAGCGGATCCACGTTTCTTTTTTTTCGAAATGTCACGGGAAAAAATAATATTTTGCCTGGAAAAACGGAGGATAGAGTGGTCATATACGTGATTTAAAAAAACCCTCATGCCCCCTTTTGTGTATATACAAGCGGCTGATTTTTCTTCGTTCTTGCTATACGAATATGCATATTTTCCAACAAATTGCATAAAAAATTTCGCAATTTGGTCTTTTTTTTCCCAGAAATCGCATATCCGTACTTTATATTCCGGCTTATCTTCGTGTCTCCAATCATAGGGTAACTGCCTCCTAAACTCCTCCAACAGAATCACTTCCAAATTATCCTGCTCCTTATCCAATTCAGCGAGTCGAGGATCTTCTGTTAGAAGTGTCGGAAAACAAGTGACCATTACATTTGGCATCAAAACTCCGCAAATTTCCTCAATCGACACTTTCTCATCCATCGTTTTATCCTCTTCTATCCCATATAAATTCACTAGAAGCGACGGGCGATCGATTTCCTCTTGATCGTCTTCGATATCCACTTGACAAGGGGTGATCTCGAATTTCGGGAATTCGGAGAGGATATCCAAGAACTGGCGACGTTGATCGAACGACCATTCGTTCTGAAAACATTATTTTTTGTGTTGAAAATCAATTTTTTAGAATATTTTGGGTAGAAAAATCGTTATTCTATTTATAATTATTCAAATTTTTCAGTTTTAGAAAGGTTTAAGACAGATTTTGAACGCAAAAGTCGATTTTTTGGGAACATTTTGACCTAAAAACGACCAAAAATCGGGATTTTTGAGCATTTGGAAAGTATTTTTATAAGCCTCAGTAAAAAATCCTAAGCCTCAGTAAAAGTTTCATAAGCCTCAGTAAAAATTCCTTAGCCTCAGTAAAACCTCGCTAAGCCTCAGTAAAAACTCCTTAGCCTCAGTAAAAATTCCTAAGCCTCAGTAAAAAGCCTAAGCCTCAGTAAAAATTCTAAGCCTCAGTAAAATCTTGCTAAGACTCATTGAAAATGTCTACGACTCAGTAAAAATTCTAAGCCTCAGTAAAAAGTTCTTACGCCTCAGTAAAAATTCTCTAAGCCTCATTAAAAATTCCTAAGCCTCAGTAAAACTAAAAATCGTCATAACTTTCTTCAAAATTAACCTAAAAATATGATTTTTGTACCAAAATGACTGGAATTATCAGATGATTATTTTCAGCTAAATTTCGGCTAAGAGCATTTTTAGCATTTTTATCGATTTTTCAGAATCTTCAGCGCATTTTCATGATTACCGTTAAGGACCCCAATCTCCCCAGAGAAATATGCATCGCTTGCCACGGATGGAACCTCTCCTCGTCCTTCAAAACGAATAGACACTGAAAATTCTCTGAATTTTTAGAATTTCCGCCTTTTTCCAACCTTCCAAGAGACATTAGCCGTCACAGCGTCATCGATGAAAAACACCCGACAGGCTTCTAGAAGTGGAATATTTCTGACAATCAGACACCTCCCAAACACCCTCTCTTCAATCGGAGCTAATGCATAATTGCCTGCTTCGAAATTAGTATGAGGGACTAGAAAATAGGGCTCCGTGTAGACTAGTTGGTCTCGAATATGGCTGATGGGACGGACAAACAGGGATGATGGAGATTCCACACGAAGCAGCTCAACGAGCGCTGAATCTTTCATAGGCATTCGTTGGATGGATTTTGTGTTTATGAATTCTGGCTGGATTTTTGAATAGGGACATGGGACCGATGTCATCTTCTGAAATCTTTTGGAAAACGTTAGAGAGATGGGACTAGAGACTAGAAATATTAGTAATAAAGACGAAAACTCTGGAAACCTAGCTAAAACAAGCAAAATTAGGTTTTGTGGTGGGGGAATTTATTATACAATAAAAAAAACTATCTTTTTGAATCACAAAACATGAAAAAAAATAATAATAAATAAATTAAACTGAGGGAATCTGATAAATACATGGTTTAAAAAAAACAAATAAAGGATGTATCCCGTTTTGCGAATAGATTCAACATTCATTCATAACGACGTCTTCTAGTTCTTGGCGGTGGAGAGGAAGGCCACAAGAGCGGCGGATCCGATGGTGGAGATGAGCAAGTTGAAGACTGGAGCCAAGTTGGCGAGAAGGAAGAACGCCGAGATGAGCATGATGGTGAGGAAGAGGGTGTTGGTGTAGAAGACGGACAAGTAGGTGGATTCGGTGTCGGCGACCTCGTTCTTGCGGAAAAGAGCACGCTCCTCCTTCTCTTTGATGGTCATCTTCTTGTCACTGGCGAACTTGGTGTTGATCTCACGATCGACGGCTGGTCCGCGCTTCATGACAATTCTGAAAAATGAGAAATATCGTGAGAATTAAGGTATTTTAAAATAGTTGCAAGCGGGCCGGCTAATAACTTGTCCCTAGAACGAGATGATCAGACAGTTTTGGTACCAAATTATAGATCTTGACAGAGCCCATCACGCCTATATTATTCAGGCCTGGTTCCTTTCCGGTAACATGTCGCAACCTGGGCTTGATTGACAATTTTCGATCAACTTGACAGAAAACACATTTTTCGACATGTTATCGGGCCGGAATCCGGCTCGAATTATATAGAAGTGATGGGACCTGACGAGACTTATTATTTGATACCAAAACCTTCTAATTATTTCGTTTTAGAGACAAAAATCAAATTTATCAGCCGGCCCGCCTGCAACTGTGGTATCTTCACTCACTGGTGCTTGAGAAGCTTCTTCTGGTTCTTGCAAGCCATTACCAAGAGATAGGCGGTTCCGGCGGCGGAGAGGGTCCACACGACGAGCGAATCGGCGACCTCCATCTGATGAACTCCGTAGAAGAGGTAGAGTGGCGCCAGCGAGAGGATCAAAGCGTTGACGTAGAAGAAGAGGGTTCCCTTGGTGGAGCTGGACGCCGAGTAGCTCGACAGGAGCATTTCTTCCTCTTTGGTGAGCTTGCCCATGATTTATCTGGAAATTAGGCGATGAGAATTGAGAGAAAACAGAAGAAAAAAGTAGAGAAAGCCGGAAGAAACGTTGAAAATTGCTAAAACCCTAGTTTTTCAACTGGAAAACTGATAGAACATCGATTCAGCGCTATTTCATTGAATTTTGACAAGTCAATAATTCCCTGGAAAACTGTTTGAAAAATTTTTATCAGAAACGTGTATAGTGATTTTTCACTTATTTTTTATTAGAAAATAGCCTAAAACTGCTGAAAATTGAAGAAAATTTTAGACCGCGATTTTAGAGGTTACTCGCCTCTGTTTTCAGCGTTTTTTCGTTCGAAATAGCAGGAAAAATAGCTAAAAATCGTCTAGAAAACCAAGAAAATATTTTCTCCCGCACTGGAAACCCCAAAAAGCAAGAGAAGACAACTACGCACCTCAAAAACTACAACGTGTCTCCGTCGAGTCTCTCTTCGGTCCGCAATGTGTCGTCGCGGTGTTTGCGTCACGACCTGCACCGCCTGCGTGTGTTTCCCCTTCAACACGGGCGGCTGTACATAGGGGGAACATACGAAGGCGAACTGCAAGCCGCTTGGCTCGCTGCCAAGCCCCTACCGTACCCCTCTCTCGGCTTCGCTCCTGGCAGTTGGAGGTTTTGCTGGTGTCCCGATGGTCGCGCGTCGGCGGCGTGTCTGTCTGGCTGACTTCATTTATATTTTCGATGCTTTTTCGGAATTTTCAGCTATTTTACCTCAATTTTAGCTGAATTTTCAGCTATTTTCTAGCTAAAAAATCATTAAAAATTTCTCAATTTTCAGAGAAAATGGCCGATACTGGACGCAGCCCACGACCAACCGCCGGAGGAGTTCGTCAGCGCAAAGGAGGTGAGTAGAAATATTTAAAAAAAACATTTTCTCTCAATGCCTAAACTTGTAAATTTCCATTTTCCAGGAGCCACCGCTGCGCCGGCTCGTGCTCGCGGAGGAAACAACGGAGGATTGTGGCGTTTCTACACCGAAGACTCCACCGGACTCAAGATCGGACCAGTTCCAGTGCTCGTCATGTCGCTCGTCTTCATCGCCTCCGTTTTTGTCCTTCACATCTGGGGAAAATTCACCAGAAGCCGTGCTTAAGCTCTTCAACAACGTCTTGCTGCCCACACGTGCAAGATATATTTATATGGGTCGTTAAATAATTAATTTATATTCTTTTTTCTCGTCTCCGTTTTAAAATGTGATTTATATATTATAATGTATGAAAAATATAGAAAAAACAACGAAACATCTAATTTCGATTTACTAAAATAACAAACAAAAAAATAAGAAAATTTACTCCCTAGTCATCGAAAACCGCCATTTTCTCCTGATCAATCTGTTTCAGCTTTTTGACAGCCTGCTGTCTCCACACAATTTGCTCCCGTTGCATCAGCTCCGTCACCCGAGAGTCCCATTCTGCCGACGCCTTCAGCTCCTTCTCGTAATCCCGTTTGAACAATCGATATGCATCATTCACCGGTTTATCAATAGCCATTGCGTAAAGATGGACGACAGCGGATAGTGTTAATCTAAAGGAGAAACCTAGAAATAGAGGAAAAAACAAAAAATTACCCCGAAGAAACGCCCAACCCAACTGCCTTCATCGATCCAATCAAGCCAAGAGGAAATGTGAATACTCCGCCGACTAGCGCTACAAATAGAAACTTTTATCACTAATCCGCGCTATACCTGTATGCAGTAAACCCGCGGTCACACCTGAAATCGCCGGGAAGTACCATGACGAAAATTTGTCTCTGTAGGCCGTCACATGGGTCGTCAGGAATCTGAAAATCCCAAAAAATCGTAAGATTGGAGATTCCGAGATCTTACACAATGGATCCAGTTATGAGTGCACACTTGAATCCCGTTCCAAATCCTCCTTTCGCAAATCTCACAATCGCATAATCGATTTTTCGTTTTACCGCATCGCTGGGACTCAAATATTTCCTACCGACGTTGTTGGTTTCGTAGGCGTGACGGGCTTGAGCGTATCCCGTGGCTCCGCCCACTAGAAATCCACCCAGGAACGACATTCGGACGACCTGGAATTTTCTCTTTTTTTTCGCGAAAATTTTTATTTTACTGAGGCTTAGAGTATTTTACTGAGGCTTAGGTTTTTTACTGAGGCTTAGGATTATTTTACTGAGGCCTAGGAGTTTTTACTGAGGCTTAGGAATTTTTACTGAGACTTAGAACATTTTTACTGAGGCTAAGGAATTTTTACTGAGGCTTAGAGATTTTTACTGAGGCTTAGGATTATTTTACTGAGGCCTAGGAGTTTTTACTGAGGCTAAGGAATTTATACTGAGGCTTAGAACATTTTTACTGAGGCATAGGATTATTTTACTGAGGCTTAGGAATTTTTTACTGAAGCTAAGGAATTTTTTACTGAGGCTTACGAATTTTTTTACTGAGGCTAAGGAATTTCAAAACGCTCACAAGCGATATCAGCTTAAAATAGAGCTACATACATGGTTTTTATACCAAAAAAAACCCAAAATTTCTGGAGAATCTTGTTAAGAAGTGAAAAAACTGTATTTTGGTTTTTTTGGAGAAGTTCAAAAAAAATTTACTGAGGCTTAGAAAACTTCAACTTGCACAAGCCGTAACTAGACGCAAATTCGGTCTAGAGACATGATTTTTGTACTAAAATGACCCGAATTTTCTAGAGAATCTAGTTTTTAGGTAAAAACTAGGTTAGAACATTTTAGCGTTTTTGAAGATTTTGTCTAGCCTTTTTCAGTGAAATTCCAAAACTTTCCCTACCCTGATAGTAGCGTCTTTCTCCATTGCATTCTCCCTCTCATAAATCGCCATAACCCTATCCCATCCAGTTTTTGGCACGACTTCCACCGAATCCACGACTTTTGGCGCCACAATTGCAGCTACACTTGTCGTCGGAACGGCTTCTGGTGAAGGCGTCGGTTCAGCGAGGTGTTCTATTGCAATTGGCGTTGACGTGGTGGCAGATGGAGGAGATCCTTTCCATCCCAACCATTCCCACCAGCCAATTTCTGAATTCTGCTTCTTCTGCTGTTCTGTCATAACGCCAGCTGAAAATCCTAAATTTTCAGAATAACGCTGAAAAATACAGAAAAATAGCTAAAAATCGTAAAAATAACGATGGAAAAAAGGGGGAAAAATTCAAAAATCCTGGGAAAATATTAATTTCATTAGGAGGACCCGAGATGACAAAGTGAACATTTGACAACAAGGAAAATTAACAAAATTGAGAATTAATTAATTAAAATTAAGAAAAAAAATGGTAATTAATTATTCTTGGCTGTCATCATTGGCATAAGATCGATGTGATGGAAGATTTTTGAGAATTTTTCGAGGCCATCGACAGTGGGATTTATATAGGTGACGATTTCTTTAGTTTCAGGAGATTCTGAGAATGGAGATGACATTTTTGTGGAGGTGAACGCTTTTTTGATGATTTGAACACATTTAAGGTGTTCCAGAAGACCGATCTGGAAATTTTAGGAAAATTAGGTGTTAATTCGGTATATTAACACTTACAATCTCTCGAATCGCGATTGGTTGAACTGCAAACTCGTACGTGGACAGGACATCCTTCATTTGGATTCCGAATTTTCCAACGATCAGTAGAAGTACACTTTCAGCGATCCAACGAACGACGGGAAGGGAGACAGATCCTGAAAACAAATTAAAAAAAAAGAAGTTTTTACACTTCGGAATTTCAGTTTTATTGATTTTTTTTCAGTTCTGTTGGTCCAATGAAATTAATATTTTCCCAGGATTTTTGAATTTTTCCCCTTTTTTCCATCGTTATTTTTACGATTTTTAGCTATTTTTTCTGTATTTTTCAGCGTTATTCTGAAAATTTAGGATTTTCAGCTGGCGTTATGACAGAACAGCAGAAGAAGCAGAATTCAGAAATTGGCTGGTGGGAATGGTTGGGATGGAAAGGATCTCCTCCATCTGCCACCACGTCAACGCCAATTGCAATAGAACACCTCGCTGAACCGACGCCTTCTCCAGAAGCCGTTCCGACGACAAGTGTAGCTGCAATTGTGGCGCCAAAAGTCGTGGATTCGGTGGAAGTCGTGCCAAAAACTGGATGGGATAGGGTTATGGCGATTTATGAGAGGGAGAATGCAATGGAGAAAGACGCTACTATCAGGGTAGGGAAAGTTTTGGAATTTCACTGAAAAAGGCTAGACAAAATCTTCAAAAACGCTAAAATGTTCTAACCTAGTTTTTACCTAAAAACTAGATTCTCTAGAAAATTCGGGTCATTTTAGTACAAAAATCATGTCTCTAGACCGAATTTGCGTCTTGTAATATGCCCTTCAATTCATACACCGATCGCCTATCCCAGTTCTCTATGCTAAGCACCCTTCATCGCCGCACCCTTCTAGTTCTTCGTACCTATCACAAAATTGTTATAATCTCATACCATTTTCCCTCTATGTCGTCCTACATTCTTCCCAGCCATTCTAACAGAGCCCCGTATTTGTTCAAAATCAACGGTCAATACTTTGACTGCTTCCTTCACAGAAACTTGTCTATGTGGAACCGTGTATGTAAGGTGATAAATTCTAAGCTCAGTCCGGTGGCGTTTGCTAAGCGAGTAGGAGCGATTCCTTATGATATTCTGATCCCTCCCACTTGACCTACAGGACTCTAGTCGGTCCGTCTGGTCATTTTACTTTTTTATTTGTACAGGTCCCATTTCTTGCCAAATTATCTATCGATTTCCCCCATGCATTGCAAATAAATATATTATTATTTACTGAGGCTTAGACATTTTTAATGAGGCTTAGAAAATTTTTACTGAGGCTTAGGAACTTTTTACTGAGGCTTAGGAATTTTTACTGAAGCTTAGAATTTTTTACTGAGGCTTAGAGTATTTTACTGAAGCTTAGGATTTTTCACTGAGGCTTAGAACATTTTTACTGAGGCTTAGGAATTTCCAACGATATCTCAGCTCAAAATTGAGCTAGAGACATGAAACTGGTACCAAAATGACCCCAATTTCATGAGTCATCAAGGGACATACCTTCCGGCGACACCCACGGTCTCGGACACCATTTCCTATTTCCCAACTGCACCGTCCAACACGCCTCGTACTCAATGCTGACCCATCTGTGATCGTCAACTCCAACCAGACGAATTTGTCGTCCTTCGTTTAGATCCGCAAGGATTTCTTGAATAGTTTCAATCGGTCTTTTCACTCTAACAGATAGTTCTTGAAGTGTGATTCCTGCCTGACGAGATGCCTTGATGACGTGGACAACCGCTCGAATCTCACGTCTTCTGTCCAAATCGAAATTCTTGGCTTGAATGAAGTCGTCAAGGGAGACGGGATCCTTTACTTCTCGAGAATTGTCCAGATATCTAATCACTTTTTGTATTTTCCTCTCAATCGGAACAATCTTCTCCTCATCTGAAGCACTTCCAGTCCTGTCCATATTCACTCGAACCTTCTCAAAATGCAAGTCTGCTGATTCCAGATACCGAATCTTCTTCACAGTCTGATCATTCTCGATCTTCGTGAACGCCGCCAGAATATCATCGTCCACGTTCATCTCCAATTGATATCTCTCCCCGGGGAATGCGTTGGAGGCAGCTACAACGATTTCAGGTCCATCTCCGGCTAGTTCGAAAACATCTGGAGATGTAGGATCCTGAATTTCTTCTAGAAGACGTCCACTGTTATCGATAAGCTCTGAATGGAAGCGATGGGCGAAGAAGTGCCGGAAGTAGTAGGACAACGTGGCATCTTTCTTATTCGCCAACTCGGCGATGGCTTCTAGGGTACGACTTCTGGATACCAGACCATCGCATCTAAGGGCTTGAAGAACTCCTTGTAGTACTGCTGGTGGCACTTGTTCTAGCATTTGCTCAGGAACTGCTCCATTCTTAGTATGGATGAGTATACTGATTAGGACGTTGGCTGTCACACAATGCTGAATGTGTCCGTATCCTATTGGCTTCTGGGATCGACGTGGGCAGGCGTTGGATACAGTAATCTCTTTGGTGACTGACACATTTCCTTCTTTGAGGAATGATTGGAACGATTCGTCGGATATGGAGGTGGATGGGATACGGTTGTTGTCGCTGGAAGATTCGGTTGTTAGCGATTTTCCCATTTTCAGCATATTTAGCATATTTCAGCTTATATGTTTTTCAAAATTCCAAAAATTCTAAAAAATTCAAAATTTCAGCTCATCTGTTGTATTATTTTCAGCCTATTTTTTTGTCATTTTAAGCTTATTTTTGGTCATTTTCAGCCTATTTTTAGCCATTTTTAGTTATTTTTAGCCTATTTTTAGTCTATTTTTGGTCATTTTTAGCCTATTTTTGATCATTTTTAGCATATTTCTGGTCATTTTTAGCATGTTTTTGGTGATTTTCAACCTATCTTTGGTCATTTTTAGCTTATTTTTAAATTATTTTCTGCCTATTTTCGGTCATTTTTTTGTTTATTTCTGGTTATTTTTAGCTTATTTTTGGTCATTTTTGGCCTATTTTAGCCTGCTTTAGGTTATTTTTAGCATATTTCTTTTTAGGGGTTTCAGCTATTTTTGAAGATTCTTTTTCGATTTTTCCGAATTTTTTTGTCTGAAATTTATCTGAAATTCGCGAAGATCACTGTAGATTACTGTAGAATTTCCTTTTGTAGTTTGTAGTTTCGTTTTGCAAACACAATTACGTCAAAATGCAGATATTGTTCGCGAAAAAAAAGAAAACTACAAATGGAAATTCGGTTTTCTACAGTAACCCTACAGTAATCTTCGCGAACATCCGTCGAATTTCAGACAACAAATTCGGAAAAATCGAAAAAGAATCTTCAAAAATAGCTGAAAACCCTAAAAAGGTCTGAAAATTTTGCGAAAAATTGAAGGAAAATTTTCGAAATACGGAATTTTTTTCAAAATTCAAAAAAAATCCCGAAAAATTGAAGTTCTTCAGCGATTTCCATAAATAGAGGTGCAGAAATTGATGAGAAGCGATTTTTATTGAATGTTTTCTACACATTTCGATGTTTCCAGATTGTTCTAGACCCCAAAATCAACGTTCTGGGTCAAATTTTAGAGCAAAATTGAACACTTACACAAAGAGCAAACGCATCGCCGTTCTGAATGCCGATTTGAAGAATTCAGTTTTCGATTGAGACGGAGAAATCGGCGCCGAGCAAAGCTCCGTTCTCAGCCGTCTCATTTCGGGGAACGTCGAGAGGTTTCGAACGACGCGTTGAAGGTACGCCAGCCGATTGGCTCTCACGAGCTCTCGAACGCCACAAGCCATCAAACTCTGGACCGTTTTGTTCCGGCTCTCCGGTACGAATTCATGCATTAGATCTCGGAGGACAGTGGGATCAAGCCAGAATCGATAGACAGGGTTCAGGAAGAATCCAACTGCACGAATCATGATCAGCTGATCCCTTTCCTTCGGTGTGAAACGACAACGGACACTGATTCGAGCTGAGGAGCTTACTAGATCTACGGAGTCTAGCTTTCGCTTTTTGGGCTTCTGGGAACGGGTCCGCGGAGTTTTAGGCTTAGAAGACGCCCCTCCGAATTTCTTGATCATTTTTGGAGGGCATTCCACTTTTAATGGATTCGAAGTCCTCAAAAAATCCGAATCCGATAGTGAAAGTCGTGTAAAATTATTCCAATCCTTGTGAACTGATATAACTCTTGTCTCAATAATCTTCTTCATCTCTTCCGAACACTTTTTGAACTTTGTAATAAACCAGGATACTGTAGCATGCGGTACAGTACATAGATCCCAGTGTCGCTTCAAATGGATGAACAAAGCACTGTCGAATCCAGCGACACCGTCGTTTTGGATGTTCGGATGGCAGGGGAGTTCCTCGATTCCTGGAAGCTTCTCAGTTTCCACCAGAGTTCGATCAAACACTCCGATTGAATAGCATTTGTGTCGACTATCCAATTTGTGCTCAATTCCATTTCCATCATTGCGATAGCCGAGAGCCGAAGACTGGACGATGGCTCGAAGATGGTGCCAGTAGAGAATCACATCGGATCGAGATTCGAAGTTATAGTCGTACTTAGGATAGACACCTGTATCCAGTGGTGGAGAGATCGTCGCGTAGGATCGGAGAGTCGTCGAGGTGTCGTAGAGATGGGCTCTGGAAAATTTCTTATATTGCAATCATAGTTCTACTAGACCTTAGTGTGATAATCCATAAAATGTGGGTCATTTTGTTACCGATTTCATGTCTCTAGCTCAATTTTAAGCTGAGATGTCGCCTTTGAAAAATTCAACATTCCTAAACCTCAGTAAAAATGTTCTAAACCTCAGTAAAATTTCTAAGCCTCAGTAAAAAATTCCTTAGCCTCAGTAAAAATCATTAACCTCAGTTAAAAATCATAAGCCTCAGTAAAAATGCTCTAAGCCTCATTAAACAATCCTAAGCCTCAGTAAAAATACCTGAGCCTCAGTAAACTTCCTAAGCCTCAGAAAAAAATTCCTAAGCCTCAGTAAAACTAAAAGCGTCATAACTTTCTTCAAAGTTAACCTAAAAAGATGATTTCTGTACCAAAATGACTAGAATATTCTAGGGAATAGATTAATAGGCAAAAAATTAAATTTTCATAGCAAAAAAAACAAGAAAAAGCCTCACTTCTTTGCCACATAAAACATATCCGACGCAGCTCCGGGGAATCGTCTCACCGACGGATTCTTTCCAACGGCCATCAATTGCATGGCTCCAAGAACGAAGAAGGCGTGTTGTAGTTGCTTATACACCTTCTTCTCCTTCATTATAATCTCTCGAATCTCTTTCGGAAGGTATCCAATACACATGTGACGTTTGACAGGGTCAGTTAGGTACGTCATCAGGAAGGCTCGCTGGAAAATTAGGTCATAGTTCAGTTCTTTTCAGGTATATCAAAAAACTGTCAACTGATAAAATATCTAGAATTTTGTGCTGCTCATTTTATCAGTTGACACCATTTTGGTATCTATCTCAGAAACCCCTTAAAAATCATTTTTTTCAAACCTACATCAATGGTAGTTGGCACGTAACTAGTCAGAACGAACACCGACAGTGGCATTGCCGCCAAAAAGTCCTGAATCATGAACCATCCACGATCCACCCCCTCGTATTTCGGTTGTGGGGGCATGAAGCGGTACGGTGACTCCTCTTGATAGTAGATATGAGCAGTGTACTCGGAGCCTGGCTTCCATTTATCGAATGCTTGTGTTGGTGGGAATCTGGAAATTATTATTGGCTTTTATAATACTAAAAATACATTTTTTCAGCTTATTCTTAGCCATTTCAAGCCTATTTTTGGCAATTTTCAAGACGATTAATCGACAGCAATCTTCGCGAACATCATCCCGTCAAATTTCAAACGAAAAAATTTGGAAAAATCGAAAAATAATTTTCAAAAATAGCTGAAAACCCTAAAAAGGTCTAAACATTTGGCGAAAAATCGAGGAAAAAATCAATCTTTCTTTCTAAAAATCACAAAACACTGCTAATTTTTGAGTTTTCGAATTTTTCAAATTTTCCTTGGTTGCTATATAAATCATACTTGCGGAAAAGATGGCCGGGCCGGGCCGGGCTGAGATTTTTCTGAAAGCGGGCCGGGCCGGAAAAAATCACACATGGCCGGCCCGCTTTTTGAAAATTTCGAAATTTTAGAGCAAATCATCATTTTTCAAGATGGTTTTTCTCCTTAATAAATAAAAATCCACACTAGAGGACGATTCTGTTGAAAAAAAAACTGTTTTGAGGTCATTTTAGAAAACAAATTTCATCCTCGGCTAAATGAAGTTTGATTTTTTTTTGCTAAAAAATCAATTAAATTGATTTTTTCGGATGGTTGTATGCATTTGGATTAATATTTGTGCTATCAAAAATATATTGGCACATTTGAAAAGTAACATTTTCGAAAAGTTGTCCTAGGCGGGCCGAACCGGGCCGAGGGTTTCGAGGCAAGCGGGCCGGCCCGGCCCGGCCATCTACATGTATGATATAAATCTACATATTTTTCTGCACATTTTGATGTTTCCAGAATGTTCTAGGGCTCAAAATCAAAGTTCTCGGTCAAATTTTACAGTTTTTCCCCAACAAAATGACTCACAAATCAAAGCAAGTGGGCGTGACGCCTTCTGGATGTCCGTGTACAAACTGCCAAGCCATTTCATGAAGAATCAACAGCCGAATCGTTTTTCCCTGATATCCTAGCGTATCCTTCCCAAAGTAGTACTGACTAGACTTCTTGTTCTGCACAGGCACTTCTGGATTCTTGGCGAACAGTTTCTGCATGGCTTTTAATGGATCTAATTGATCCTCTGCAACGTCTTCTACTACTGTATCTTCCATAGTGTCGTTTAGAGTCTCATCTGCTTCAAATTCCTCTGTATCTAGTTGCTCGGCTTCTTCTTTCCTTCCTTTCCAGCTATTTCGAACTGTTTGGAGACGGAACCAATGGTATCTATCATTGATAGTGCTGTTATCAGTGATTTCTTCGTTAATTTCCTCAACTTTCCCATCGAATTCTGTCTCATGGCTCTCTTCTGGACGTTTCTTGAGACTTCTAAGCTGTCCATGAGGGAACACCCTTCCTTCTCTTTGATAACAATCTAGAATCTCCTGAATTCCTTTCGTAACTTCTGGATCTGAGGATTCTTGGATGTCTCGATGCGTGATGATTTGTACTTGATAATTGACACTATCCGAACGGACCATAGTGTCGAAAACTTGGATTAATCCCTTATTCTGGAGAGCCAGAAGACATTTGAGCACGGATTTTTTGTCGATTTGGAATTTGTATCCATCTTGGGTCTCTAGTTCACTGATAAACTTTATCACTCGATTCATTGTCACCACCACTCGGGAATCTTTGACCATCTTTAGAAGACGATTGAAGCGTTTCAGAGTGATGTCACTGATGCGGAGGGTGTCTGGAAATAAGAAATTTTTAAAAAATTGGAATTTTGAAGACTCACTAAGATTTTTCTCAGGAAACTTGAGAACTTCTCCAATTTTAAAGGGACATGGCATGTCGGTGAGCTCTTCGAACTCACGGAACAGCTTCTCGAATCGCTCCGGATTCTCGCTTTCTTTCCAGAAGTATCTGAAATTTTTGGAAAAATAGAACAAATTAAAAATTTCAATCATATTTGTGCAGAAGACAAGGCCCTTCTAATACAGGGACCCTTCTATTAGAGGTGCCTTTCTAATACAGGTTTTACGGTAATATGAAAAATATTCTTCAGAAAATTCCAGCCATTTTGGTACAAAAATCAACTTTCTAGGTCAATTTTGAAGACAGTTATGAGCGATTTTCGTTTTACTGAGGCTTAGGATTTTTACTGAAGCTTAGGAATTTTATATTGAGGCTTAGGATGTTTTCACCGAAACTAGCTGTATCTCGGTCAGAAATTCAATTAGAAGACGAAATTTTCCACGTGTGTTTTACTGAGGCTTAGGATTTTTTTTTACTGAGGCTTAGGAAAAGTTTTACAGAGGCTTATGATTTTTACTGAGGCTTAGAATTTTTTACTGAGGCTTAGAGAACTTTTACTGAGGCTTAGGATTCTTTACTGAGGTTTAGGATTTTTTACTGAAGCTTAAGGATTTTTTACTGAGGCTTAGGAGTTTTACTGAGGCTTACGATTTTTACTGAGGCTTAGGAAATTTTACTGATGCTTAGAGAACTTTTACTGAGGCTTAGGATTCTTTACTGAGGCTTAGGAAAGTTTTACTGAGGCTTAGAAGATTTTTACTAAGGCTTATAACTTCGTATGCGATATCCCAGCTGAAAACTGGGCTAGAGACATGAGATCGGTACCAAAATGACCCAAATTTCCTAGAAGTTTCTAATTTTTTTGAATTCCTGGCCACATCTAGACTCAAAATTGAGCTAGAAAATTGGTTTTTGAAGGATATTTTTTCGGAAATTCGCTTACCTAATCGTTCTAACTTTTCCATTCATCTTCTGAAACTGTCCAATGTGATCTGGATGTTCATTTGTGCAGTTTACAATGTAACTAGTGACTTTTCTGCCTCCAGACTTTGAAGTTCCATCGTAACCGAGCACCTGAGCGATTTCTGCTCTTCCCAAGCCTTCAGTTCCACATTCTTTAATTGTATTTAAAACAATATCGGTAGATAATCGATATGTGGTTTGTGGGGACCAGCGATTTGGGACAAATGGCATATAGGCAGAGGCTGAAAACGATTTTTTTAGGGTTTTTCGATTTTTAGATGCTCACTATTATCTTTTTTAAAGTGATAGGGTCCAAAAGTGTTGACATTCAGCTTTTTATTCCTTTTAGGAGTCAATTCTTCAACTTCCTCTTGTAATTCACTGGTACTCGGCAGATTTTCCTCTGGAATGACATGTTCGTCTGCAGAACTCTCTTCTTCGTGCGATATTTCGAAATCGGATGATTCTATTCCTGGAAAAAAGGAGGAAATTTGAATTTTTGAGATGTTTTCTCACTTTTTCGTTTTATGGCTTGAGTCTGCTCGGATTCAGAGTGAGATGAGTCTTCCATCTTAAAAAATATCAATTTTATTTTTTTCTGTAATTTTCAAAATAGAAATCCAGGTTATTTTAAGAAAAAAAAGGTTTTTTAAATGAAAAAATGCAAAATTAAAATAAAATTTCATGCGCGCGTTGTTTAGTGCGAGGCGGGATTTCGGAGCATCGTTTGTACTAGCTTATAAGAATTTAGAGAAAATTTAGATTTAAAATTTTGCTGAAACTGAAATATTTAGATTTTTGTCTTTAAATTCTGAAATTTTTAAATCTGAAAAACTAGTTTAAACGATGCTCCGTATGCCGCCTCCCGCTAAACAAGGCGCACTTTCCGGCCGAATAAAAATAAATTTTTTTAGAAGAAAAAAAAACGGAAAATAGGGTTAAAAAGGGGGTTTTGACTGAAATATAGTTTGAAAAATTGCTCAAATTTGTCTGAATATTCATGAAAATTCGCTATTGAACCTTGAAAAATCTAAAAAAAAATGACGCAAATCGGGTTTTTTTTCCAGAATGCACCTCCTTCTAAAATCCGGATGGATTCTACACAGAACACAGGCTTTCCATACGTCTGTGAATCGATTTTTGTCAGTGCTGCCGCAGATTTTGAATGGTAAGAGCTAAAAAAGTAGAGAAAATCCCGATTTTGGTGAAAATCTTCAAAAATTATAATTTTTAAATTTTCAGCCCGTCAATTCCCACAAAGGAGGTCGAGACCGAAACGAGAGGAACCTACATCTTCATCAGAGAAAAATGTTTACAAAAATCCATGGATTGAAATCTCCTGGAGCTCAAAAGGTCACCGAGAAACGAAAGAAGACGCTAAACAAGCCAGCGAAGGCAATGAAAATGGGGGTGGAGGTGGAAAAGACGATGATCCTCGAAAAAAGCTAATGGAGAAGATGAAAAGATGGCTGGCGATCTCTCTATTCGCCTATGGTGTCCTCTTCATGCTCTCGCCGAAGACCAGTGGAGGTGTGACAGCTGATAAAATCTCCTGGAGTGAATTTATCAATGAGCTACTGCCAACAGGACAAATCTACCGGATTATCGTGCTCCCGGAGCAAGATATCGCATATTTATACGTTTATGACACTGGAGCCAAGAATTCTCGCGGGGAGCGTCTTGCCAACATGTATAGGGTTGGGATTCCATCGGTGGGACGGTTTGAGACAGAAGTGCGAGCGGCTGAAGCAGCACTAGGACTCCCTCCAGAGCATTGGACTCAAATAGAGTATAAGAGAAGTGAGAACATAACTCAATGGATGACTATAATCTTCTTGGGCGGTCTTCTAATTGGTGGCTTTCTGTTGTTCCGAAAGTTCAAAGGATCCTTTAATATGACGGATATGATGTCGAATATGACAAAAGGAAAGTTCACAATCATCGATCCACACAGTGCTGAAGGCAAGAAACAACTGAAAATCAAGTTCAAGGATGTCGCCGGCTGCTCTGAAGCGAAGGTTGAAGTTCGTGAATTCGTGGATTACCTCAAGAATCCTGGACGCTTCACAAAGCTTGGAGCCAAATTGCCACGTGGCGCGTTGCTCACCGGACCGCCTGGATGTGGAAAGACTTTACTGGCGAAGGCGTTGGCCGCGGAATCAACGGTTCCTTTCATTTCAATGAATGGATCTGAGTTTGTAGAAGTTATTGGTGGCTTAGGAGCGTCTAGGATTCGTGGGCTGTTCAAGGAGGCGAGAACGAGAGCACCATGTATTATCTATATCGATGAGATTGATGCGATTGGAAGGAAGAGGAGCGAGGGGAAAGGAGCTGGTGGATTTGGAGGTTTCTTCTTTACAAAAATCAAATTTCTATGCCAATTTTGAAGAAAGTTATGGCGATTTTAGTTTTAAATGCTGTTTACTATTGGCAAGCCTCCATAAAAATTTTTGATTTAAAAAATTGCTGAAAACATTCTCCCGAGAATTCCAGTCATTTCGGTACAAAAATCAATGTTCTAGCTCAAATTTGAAGAAAGTTATAGCGATTTTTAGTTTTACTGAGTCTGAGGCTTAGGAAGTTTTTACAGAGGCTTAGGAAGTTTTTACAGAGGCTTAGGAATTTTTACTGAGGCTTAGGAATTTTTACTGAGGCTTAGGAATTTTTCACCGAAATTATTAGCTGTATCTCGGTCAGAAATTCAACTAGAAGATGAAATTTGCCAGGTGTTTTTTACTGAGGCTTAGAAATCCGTCTTCCTGGCGTACGATTCTTGACTGATAATAGCCCTAGCTCGGCTCAAAATTGTGCTAGAAAACTTGCCACGTGGCATTCACTGAGGCTTATGAATCAAATTATGATCTTAACCTATTCTTTTCGCAGGTGGTTCCGGTGAAGAGGAGCAAACGCTGAATCAGCTACTCGTCGAAATGGACGGAATGGGATCTGGAAATGGTGTTGTCGTTCTGGCAAGCACAAATCGAGCTGATGTCCTGGATAAGGCTCTATTGAGACCTGGAAGATTCGATAGACACATTTCAATCGATTTGCCGACGATGTTGGAGAGAAAAGACATGTTTGAGCTGTATATGAGGAAGATTAAGCTGGATCATGCGCCACAAGAATACTCTCAGAGGCTGGCAGCGATGACGCCCGGATTCTCAGGTGCCGATATTATGAATGTGTGTAATGAGTCGGCTATTCGAGCGGCGTCGAATAAGAAGCACGTAGTGACCATTAAGGATGTAGAATATGCCCTGGATAGAGTGTTAGCTGGCTCAGAGAAAAGAAGTCGTAGTTTGGTAGAAGAGGAGAGAGAAGTCGTTGCGTATCATGAAGCAGGACACGCCCTTGTTGGATGGATGCTGGAGCACACTGATGCTCTTCTCAAGGTCACAATTATCCCTCGGACCTCTGCAGCTCTCGGATTCGCTCAGTATTCTCCACGTGACAAGAAGCTGTTTGCGAAGGAGGAGCTGTTTGATAGAATGTGTATGATGTTGGGAGGACGATGTGCTGAGAATTTGAAATTTGGGCGGATCACATCTGGAGCACAGGATGATCTTCAGAAGGTGACAAAGTCGGCGTACGCACAAGTCAAGTTGTATGGAATGAGCGAGAATGTGGGACCACTGTCGTTTCCGAATACGGAGGGATTCCAAATCAAACCGTATTCCAAGAAGTTCGCAGCGGTTTTCGATCAGGAGGCGTCGTTGATGGTTGCGAAGGCTAGTGAGACGACGACGAAGTTGATTAAGGATAATATGGATAAATTGGAAACGGTAGGCACAAAAGCTAGTTTTCTAACTTAAATTGTATGGAAATGTGTAGATGTATTACTCTCGTCCGAAATCAATGCACGTTGCGGCCGAAAATTTACTCAAAATCGCACCGTCGGGCGCAGAGCGAAAAAACAAACTGATGCATGCGCCTTTAAATACCGTACCTCGGACGTTTTTTATTTCGGGCCCTATTTGGCTGTTTTTTTTTCTATTTTATAAGAAAAATAAATTAAAGATTTGCAAGATTACACAAAATTATACAGAAACAAGCGAAAAAGTGAGAGAAATTTGAGAAAATTCGATAAATGTTAAGGTACTGTTTTAAAGGGGGAATCCGACCAAAATTTTTTTTTGTATTAAAATGTTTCAAAAGTTATCTATTTTTCGAATATTATTGCGAAAAAATTTGAAAGAAATCCGAAATCCCCGAAAAACGCCGTTGAAAATGAAAAAATTCAAAAAAGGTGCCGCCGAGGGACGAGGATTTGAATTCCCGCGCAATGAGAAACCTAGGCCACGGCACCTGATAGCATTATTTTCAAGNTGGCCGACAGTGTTTTTTAACGTTTTTTACCTGTCGGAGATAAAAGCGAAAAAAATCCGGAAAAATTGTCCGGTAAGAAAGTCGCGCCGCACGGGTGGCCTAGGTTTCTCNNTGAANATCNTCGTCCTGNGGCGGCACCTTTTTTTTAAATTTTTTTCCTTTTCAACGCCGTTTTTTGGGGATTTCTGATTTTTGAAAAAAAATTTCGCAATAATATTAGGAAAATAGATAACTTTTAACACATTTTAATGCAATAAAAAATTTGAACGGAGTCCCCCTTTAAAGGCGCGTGCAATAATTTGAAAAATACAGTAAGTTTCTCTCTGTGGGAGCTAAGCTCCGCCCACCGTTGTTTTCTCGGCCGCAAAGTGCATTGATTTCGGACAAGAGTAATAGAAACAAAGAAAACATTCAAAAAATCGCTTCAAAAAAGAATTTTCTCGAAATCCCAAAAATTCAAAATTCCAGCTCCATCTTTTTGGGAGCATTTCTATCCGATTTCCGGTCATTTTTAGCCCATTTTAGCGTATTTTCAGCCATTCTAAGCCTATTTTTCCGAATTTTTCTGAAAATTTTGCCGCTAAAACTGAAAAGCTCTCAAAATTAGCGATTTCTTCGCGATTTTTCGAGGGAAAAATTGGTTTTTTTCTTCGATTTTTGTGCAACATTTTTAGAATTCTCAGGGTTTTCAGCTATTTTTGAAGATTCTTTTTCGATTTTTCCGAATTTTTTCATCTGAAATTTGACTTCTTTTGGATGATGTCCGCGAAGATAATTGCAGATTACTGTAGAAAATATATAAATTTTGCGAAAAATCGGAGAAAAAAAAATAATTTTGCATTCGAAAAATCGCGAGGAAATCACTTTTCAGTTTTGGCGGCAAAATTTTCAGAAAAAAATGGTAAAAAACAGGCTCAGAATGGCTAAAAAAAGGCTAAAATGGGTTAAAAATTACTCGAAATTGGCTAAAATAACCTCAAAATAGGCTAAAAATAACAGAAAATAGTCAAAAATAGGCTCAGAATGGCTAAAAATATGCTAAAATAGGTTTAAAATGACTGAAAATTGGCTAAAAAGGCCCAAAAAAAGCTGAAATTTTGATTTTTTCGGAATTTTTGGAATTTCAAAAGAAGTGATTTTTGAGCGATTTTTCGAGATTTTACAAATTTTTCTACACATTTTAATGAAATAAAAAATACGTTTTTTTTTCATAATTCAAATTTTTCCAGATCGCCCAAGCTCTTCTAAAACGAGAAGTTCTAAACTATGAAGACGTCAAACAACTGATTGGGAAACCGAAATTCGGAGACAAGCATCTCGTCGATATGGTGGAGATGTGCTGCCCAAAGACGATGTTTAACTAATTTTCTCGAAAAAATTTATCCCATTTTCAATTTTGTATCGTTTTCTGTTATTTTAATAACGGGTTTATTGTTTTTTCAAACTTTTAGGAGTCATAGAATAATAGAGTTTAATGAACAGCCATCCTACAAATCACGTCTAGATCCTGTTGATCTTTGAAGAAAGTTTCGCGAATTTCAGATTCTGGAATTTGAATTATGGACAAAGGAACTAGGAGAAGTTGAGCGCTTCGATTGCTGCCGGATTGGAAAATTCGGGCCGCATGATTTTCAGCCAGTAGTTGCATGGCACCGATTTGAGTGGAAAGGATTTCAGGTTTCGATTCCAAACGACCATCCTCTGAAAATACAGAAAATTCAAGTCATTTTGGTCCAAAAATCAGATTTCTAGGTCAATTTTGAAGAAAGTTATGGCGATTTTTATTTTTACTGAGGCTTAGGAATTTTTACTGAGGCTTAGGAATTTTTACTGAGGCTTAGAATTTTTTACTTAGGCTTAGGATTTTTACTGAGGCTTAGAATTCTTACTGAGGCTTAGGAATTTTTATTGAGGCTTAGGAATGTTTACTGAGGCTTAGGAATTTTTACTGAGGCTTAGGAATTTTTACTGAGGCTCAGGATTTTACTGAGGCTTAGTGAATTTTACTGAGGCTTAGTGAATTTTACTGAGGCTTAGGGAATTTTACTGAGGCTTAGGAATTTTTACTGAGGCTTAGGAATTTTTACTAAGGCTCAGGATTTTACTGAGGCTTAGTGAATTTTACTGAGGCTTAGGGAATTTTACTGAGGCTTAGGATTTTTACTGAGGCTTACGAGTTCCCTGCTTCCGCCACCTTGTCTACGCCTTCCTCACCTACTCTCTGAAGTGTGCTTCGTGGCTGAGTGGCTTGCGCTCTTGCCTTTGGATCTGCAGATTAGAAATTCATTTTACAGCGTTTTTTTTCCAGCCGCCATCCACCAGTCAGCGCCTCTTCGACTGTCATTTAGCCGTTTTTCACCAATCGCGCCTCAGATTCTAATTTTCGTAGAAGTGCTTCTAATAACACATTTTATAGATTCCCAGATCCCTCTATGACTTTTATCATGTTTTAAGAGAAACATCTTTTTTCAACCAAATTTTCCATTCTGCAGAAATTTGGCCCGCCAACCACCGGTCATTGACCAGTCAGCGCCTCTTCGACTGTCATTCAGCAGTCGTTTAACAACCTATTTTTTGAGGTGGTCCCATACTTGTGAAGGGCCGGGCCGGGCCGAAACACGAATTTCACCGGCCCGGCCCGGTCGGCCCGGAAGTTTACCGCGAACTTCAAAATCTTGAGCGAAAAGTTGAATCATTGTTTCGAAAAAAGGTATTCAGTGTTTTTTTTCTTCGAGTTATTTTTCAATACATTCTAAAAATCAATGAACTGGGTTTTAAAACCTAAATTAAACATTAAAATCAAAAAGAACAATCAAAAGACAATGAGAAGTGAACATTTTCTGCCGTAATTTTTGAAAATTCAGAAATATTGAGATTCTGAGATTCTGAAATTCGGAAGTTCTCAGATTCTCAGTTTCTGAAGTTCCGAAATTCTAAGATTCAGAAATACTGAAATTCAAAAATTCAGAAGTTCTAAGAATTCTGAGATTTTCAAGCTCTGAAATGCAGGAATGCAGAAACTCCTTTAAAAAAACTGTACCCCCGAATCACAAGCGTTGTACCCCTGTATGAAATGGGTTGTACCCCAGAATCATTGGTAGTTTTCACCCCCGAATTTTTGAACCTACGAATTTTGTACCCTCGAATCACCAATTTTGTACCCCTAAATCAGTTGTACCCCCTTGTACCCCCCAAATTTTTTGCCAACTATAGGCTTAGGCCGAAAGTCTTGTTTCTATTGGTAGTATGGAAGACTCTGTGGTAAAAAGTAGTATAAGAGACCTTGGTAGTAAAAGAGACTTGGTAGTATGAGAGACACATTGAAAAAAGTAGTATAAGAGACAGTGGTAGTAAAAGAGACTCGGTAGTATAAGAGAAAGGTAGTATAAGAGATGGTTGTGTAAGAGAATTTGCCCCGAAATTCCGCATTCGCGTTGTTTATCGCTTTGACAAAAATGGCGACTGTTTAAATTCATTTTTCAAAAATTTTGTTTTTTTTCTGCCGGGCCGCCGGGCCGGGCCGGGCCGGGCCCTGAAAATTTTCTCCCGGCCCGGGCCGCCGGGCCGAACCGGGCCGGGCCGAAATTTCACAAGTATGGGTGGTCCTATTTTAGGAAAATAAGATTCTATCATTTCCTATTATCTAGTGGGGGTATGAGAAATTGTTTTCTGAATGATTTTCAATGAAAACCTTCAAGTCTGTTTTCCAAGGGGTTCCGACTGTCCGTCGACGGACCGTCGACGGCCCGTCAGTTCTCCTTCGGCTGCCAACTAGCAATCATTCGCCAGTTTGCGCCTCTTCAGCTGTCATTTAGCAGTTTTTCAGCAGTCCCCCTCTACCTGTGGGAACCTCGCGGGCTCAATCACTTGGGAAACTTGTTTTTTTTCTTTTTAAAATCCTTTTTTGGCCTCTTTCTGACCTACCCGATCGATAAATTAATATCACTGTTATCGCCCACTGCTCGACCACATTCAAATTCAGCGCTTTTACCGATTTATGGATCGATCGGAGTTTTTCATTGGTACACTCGTTGATCAAACTACTCCCCGGCTGACAAATAATGTGGAATAGGAATAGAGAGTGCCAGCAATTTGAGAATATTATCTGAAAACAGATTTTTTCGAGATCTAATTGTCGCTAGAGTACACTTACTCTTCTATCAGACGCTGGGAAGGTGTTGGCTGGTGGGAGAGAGGACCACCATTGGATTACTGTAGATAGACAAGTGACAGGGTCTAGTAGAGATTGATCAATGGTTTCGGGGAGTTTTATTTTCTTCACTTTTTTGGTTCTAACTGCCGGGGCGGTTGATCGGGGTGGAGTGTCGAGGCGTTCATGTTGGACGGCTGGAAGTTCAGAAATTCAGAAATTATAGAAGAGACGCAGACAACGAGAAGCTATCCTTTCTCTGCGTCTCTTCCTGGTGGAGCTAAAACTTCCAATGGAAGAGGTAGATCAAATTTTTCGCTTCAAAACTCCAAACTCACCATGTCGATTCATAGAAACAGCCAAACACTTCTGAAATCGACACGATTGACATTGATTCCGACGAACGACGTCTATTACGCATCGCTTGGCTTCTTTGCAGGTGTATCGAAGATTTCTTCGAATGGAACGCTTGAAAAATCCACGGCATCCATCGCAGGAGAGCACTCCGTAGTGACGGCCTAAAAAGAAACGCTTGTAGTTTCGTTTCTGGGAGAGCAACATAAAACATTTTTACTAACAAAATAAAGAACTTGAAATTTAACACATTTTATTAGTTAAACACTTTTTTCTAGCTATTCTAGTTCTTGAAATATAACGCTTTGAACATTAAGCACTGCTGGAACCGCCAGGTACAAGCGTACACCTCATTCTAGGGGGTATACCTTAGAAACTATGATAGCTAGCTTAAAATTGGTAATTAGCAAAATGTAGAACTTTAAATTTTGCACATTTTATTAGGTAGAAACTTTTTCTATTTTTTTTTAGTTCTCGAGAAATGCCGCTTTAAACATTAAGGACTTCTGGAAGGGATAGGCTCAAGGGTATGCTTTATTCTTGTAAGAGGTGTATCTCCGAAACTATAGCAGCTAGATAAAAAATGTCAACTAACAAAATAAAGAACACAACGTTTTACACATTTTGTCAATTGAAATCTTTGTACTAGCTTTGATAGTTTTTGAGATATAACGCTTTGAACATTAGGCACAAGAGCTTAAAATTTGAAGAACTTAAAATTTTACACATTGTATCAGTTAATCATTTTTTGAAAGCTATTTTAGTTCTTGAGATATTACTCTTTAAACATTAGGCGCGAGACGCAGAGAAACGAGACACTCTGCCTTCTCTTCCCTCTCTCCTCTCCCCACACTATTTCTCTTACCTGATGCTCGATCTCCACAAACTCTACAACTCGGTGGTTCCACATTACAAAGCATCATCATTCTTTCGGAAACTTTTTTGTTTCCGAAATTTGTTTTCAAAGAAAAAAGTAAAAAGTGGGCGGAGCTTATAAAATGAAGGGTCCTTTAAGCAAGAGGGGGATTTAAAAAAGGGGAAAAAGTAGGTCAATGAACGTGAGAATTCTTTCAGTTTAAAGGGACAGAGTGTCATTCGAGTAGGGGATAGGGGATTATCTCTTTTCTTCCCCCCCCCCCCCCCCGAAAAGCTGAGCTTTTTCTTTTTTACCGTAGTCAGAAAAGAGGGATGAGCAATCCTGGGGGCTAGAATGTTCAGAGTGTTGTATCTTGAGAACCAAAAGAGATAGAAAAAAGTTTTCAACTAGGAAAATGTGTAAAATTTCATGTTCTTTATTTGATAGTTAAAATTTTTGATCTAGCTAGTTTTTGAAATAAACCCTTTAGAATGAGGTAAACCTTTGTTCTTAGCGGCTCCAGCAGTGCTAAATGTTTAGAGCGTTATATCTCCAGAACTAAGATAGCAAAAAAAAAGTGCTCAACTAGTAAAGTGGGTAAAATTTTAAGCTCTTTTTTGGATAGTTTTCATTTTTTATCTAGCTGTTACAGTTTTTGAGATACACCTATTAGAATGAGGTATATCTTTGTTCTTAGCGGTTCTAGCAGAGTCTAATGTTTAAAGCGTTATTCCTCGAGAACTAAAATAGCTTTTAAAAGTGTTTAACTAATAAAATGAGTAAACCTTTAAGTTTTTCATTTTACTGGTTGACATTTTTTATCTCGCTAACATAGTTTTTGAGATACACCGCTTAGAATGAGGTACGCCCCTGTGAATAGCTGTTCGAGCAGTGCCTAATTTTTAAAGCGTTATATCTCCAGAACTAAAATAGCTAGAAAAAAGTGCTTAACTAATAAAATACTTGAAATTTCAAGCTTTTAGTGCTAATTGACATTTTTTTATCTAGCTGTTACAGTTTTTGAGATACAACCCTTAGACTGAGGTATACACTGTTTCAAGTGGATCAAGCAGGGCTGAATGTTTGGAGCGTTATATCTCGAGAACTAAAATAGCCAGAAAAAAGTGCACAACTAAAACAATGTGTATAACTTTAAGTTCTTCATTTTACTAGTTGACACTTTTTATCTAGCTAATATCGTTTTTGAGATACAACCTTTCGAATAAGGTATACTCTGGTGTAGTGCGGTTCTCAGTATTGTTATATCTCGAGAACTAGAACAGCTAGAGAAAAGTGCTCAACTAACGAAAGTTGTGAAATTCAAACTATTTTTATAATTAGTCAATTAACTTTTAATTGGAAAAAAGGCTTTTATTGGAAATTCATAATTTCAAATATCAAAGTTTAAGAAGAAAACGCAAAATTGAGCATTTTGAAAAAGTCAAAGTAAATTTTTAAAAAAATGAAATGCACACAGATAGATAATTAAAGGGTAATTAAGTAAAGAAGGGTAATTAAGTGATAAAACACAGAAATGATGTCATCAGAAACAAAAATGGAATGAGATTTTGAAAGAATGGGAGGAGGAATTTATAACTTTTTAAAAATTGAAAAGGCACAAGAGAGATAATTAGGATGGGTAATTAAGGGTAGACAATTAAACACATGTTTCACTTTTCCTACGGATTCTGGACGCCAAGAAGTCGTTCGATGGGTAGGCGCCTCTGGAAAATCAGCAAAATTTAAAAAATTTAATTAAAAAAAAATTTTTTTACAAAATTTTTTTTCTAGAATTTTCAGACAAACCTCTGTCCCAACTCTGGCATACTTTCAGCAATAACTGGTTTTTCATCCAAATAGTTAGCTCTGAATGCGGAAACTGGCGTCTGTGGAGGGTACATCAGTGGAGCGTCGAACTCAATTGATCTGAAATTGCTAAAAATTAGATAAAAACGAGTTAAAGGATTGAAAATAGCAAATTTTGAACTAGAAAAATAAAATTTTCAGGTTGTTTTAGGTCTAGAAAAGCTCAAAAACAAGAATTTAGGGATATTTGAGGTATACTGCATACTTGTAAAATTCCGGGCCGGCCCGCCAAAGCCCGAGCCCGGCCCGGAAGGCCCGGTAGCAAACATTTTGTCATTTTAAGCCAAATTTTGAGCTCTCAATACAATTTTCTCCATTATTTTTTGTGTTTTTGGATTGTTTGTCTGTTTGATCAAAAAAATATCAAAAAAAAACTCGAAAAAAATTTTTTGATCGAAAAAAATCACATAAGGGTCCCCCCTTATGTGTTTTTTAAAATTTTCAAAACTTGTGAAATGACAGGCCCGCCGGGCCGGGCCGGGCTCGTTACAAGTATGGTATACTGTACATAAATCCTCTGATAGAGTGTTCCATGAGCTGTCAACTTCGAGCCAATTTATCTCATTTCCTCCAAAAGATATAGAAAAGTAGTCCACTGCCAAAATGTAGCTGATATTATGATAAACATTTTATTAGTTAACAACTTTTTGATGTTTATCCCCGTTTTTAAGATATGCGCCTTTAAAGTGTAAAAAAGGCGCAGTCAGCGAGACGCAATCGCTGTTTGCTGATACCTGTCAACTTTAAAGGCGCATATCTCATTTCTTGTGAGTGATATCAAGAAGTTGTTTATTGATCAAATGTTGCTGATACTATGATAAACATTTTGTTAGTTGACCACTTTTTGATATCTCTTATAGGAAGCTAGATAAATTGAGTCAAAGTTGAGAGTTAGAAAAATCATTCTATTAGAGTGTTTACCGTAGTATGTTAGAGGCTTTGTAAATTTGCTTTGAATCGAATAACCCCTATTTACAGACGTAATGTTTTCTAGAAACCTTAAACTAACTATTTTCATCCTGAATTCTGTCATTTTCGGCTTAAAAAATAATGAAAGGCCCAAAAGTCAAATCGTTACCTCCCAATATTGGTAACATTGGTTCTGGACGATCTCTGAATGCTGAATCCATCAGAATCCTTAGCGGAAGCGAATGAGAAGTAGGTGAAGAGCATTGCGATAAGGAATGAAATCAAATGACAGAATGCAGCAGCCATTTGAAGGAAGAATGCAGTTCCGACACGTTGTTCATACGTTCCAACGATTCCTTTGATGAATCGATTGTCGGCACGATGAGAGTAGAAGAAGAAGATGCCTTCGGCGATCGCGGAGAGAAGCGCTGAAAATTTTGATTTTGTTGCATTTGACTTAAAATTTTGATTTGATTGTTAGTCGGAAGTTTTTCGATAGCTTCAAAAAGGAGCGAGATATGAAGTCTTGAAGGGTTTGTGGAGCTAGTGGGCGGAGGAATGTTTAAAGGCGCATACCTCAAAAACTAGGTTAGCTATCAAACAGTTGGGAACTAATTAAAAATAGAGCAAAGAATTTTACATTCTTTTCTAGGTAACAAAATTTTGATAAATTGGTTAGTTCTTGAGATATGCGTCTTTTCGTCTAAGCGTCTGCGCCTCTTTAAAGGCGCATATCTCAAAAGTTAAATTAGCTATCAAAAAGTAGTCAATTACCATTTTTAGAGTATTAAATTTTACACATTTTTCTAGTTAACACAATTTTTATAGGTTTGTTGGTTCTTGAGATATGCGCCTTTAAAGCCCTTAAAGCCTCTGAAGTCAGACACTAGTTGGTAGCTAGGCGTCTGCCCCTGTTTAAAGGCGCATATCTCCAAAACTAGGTTATCTATCGAAAAGTTTTAAACTATTAAAATTTGTAAAACTTTATATTTGTAGTTTACGACTTCTTCCTAACTTTGCTCGTAATTGAGTTATGCGTCTTTAAAGTAGCTAGCCTCCACGGGACACACCGTCACACAGACAGACAACCTTCGCCATACAAACAGGTTCTTCCGATTATGATGACTAATACTTATTGGCGAAAAAGTACTTTTTTTGAAATCCGCAATTCATAAATGCATAAATGTATGACTCACTTGTCAACAGGGTAATTATGGTGAAGAATAGAGCGAGAGACGAGTGACAGCAAGCACAGGCACCAATAAAAGTGGAGAGTCCCGTGGTGAGAAGAGCAAATCCAAGAAGAATCATGGTAGATGTGTGCCAACCTGAAAAATATTTAAATAATTAAAATTTTGTAGTTTTTAGAACATTTTTGTGGTGGATTAATTTAAATCGGTTGAATATGAAGGGAGTTATGGCTCCTTTTCGGATTTGATGTACGGCTGCCTTTAAAGGCGCATATCTCAGTTTCTAGTAAAATTACCAAAATTTTTTTAATTGTGAAAATGTGTAAAATTTTATGGAAATTATTTTTGTAGTTAACAATTTTTTGAAATCTCTTATAGGAGGTGAGATATGCGCCTTTAAAGAGACGCAGACTACCATTCACTCTGGCGCCCTCCCCTTCCCGCTAGCTAAAAACTTTAAAGGCGCATATCTCATGAACAAATGAAGCTAACAAAATTTTGTTAAGTAACGAAATGTGTAGAAATTCATGGCAATTATTTTTGTAATACAAATTTTTTGATTGATTGCTCCGTTTTTGAGATATGCGCCTTTAAAGTGTTGAGGTGGCGCAGGCACCCAAACTGCTTGCGGACACTGGCCAACTTTAAAGGCGCATATCTCCAAAACGAGTATGGCTATCAAAATTTTGTAAATTATTAAAATGTGTAAAGTTTTATCTTGATCATTTTTGTAGTTAACAATTTTTGAATATCTTTTTTAGTTTTTGAGTTATGCGCCTCTATAGAGTACAGGAAGCTCGGATCGACCTCTTAATCTTAAGCTTAAGCGTTTTCGAGGAATTTCAAAAGATTTTCATAATTCTTACCATAGAATTTATGCCTGTTGACCTCTCCAACTGGACTATTGTCATCTTCCAGTTCGAAAGTTCCAGAATACTTGTCATAGTCAAACTTGTAGACACAGTGGAGGGGCTCAGTGACAGTGGCGTATCTGAAAATTGGAATTTAGTTTTAGAAGGTTTAAAAAGTGTCAGAAGGTCTTAAAATAAAATTATTGGCTTCTGGGACTTCTACAAGGGTACAAGACTAGGGAAATTTATCCTTAAATTCGAGTTGACAGCTCCAAAAAACCTAATCTTACCTCTGCAAAATATGATTCCCATCTCTGCTGTGTCTTGTGCAATCCAGCCAGAGTCCGTGCTCATGAATCGATCCGTACTCTCTCAAATTGACAATTTGCCAAGATGGTGTCAAAATTGCGGCAATTGAGAGGCCAGCTCCAATGAACGAGAATAGGATGGACAGGAAGAGAGATCCCTTTCTCCCGATGTCGTTCGCGTCGGACATGGTTCTGCGCTGAAAACTCAAATTTTCAATATTATGAGGTTGTTGGAAATTCAATTTTTTTTCTATAGTTGACAACTTTTTGATAGCATTTACGGCATTTGCGTTATGCGCCTTTAAAGTTGGAGAAGCTGTCACCAGAGGAAGGAAACACTAAGTTTAAAGGCGCATATCTCAAAAACCAAAAGTGCTGTCAAAAAGTTATAAATTACCAAAATTTAGAAAATTTAATTTCAAACATTATCATCGTTAACAGTTTTTTGATAGCGTTTCTAGTTTTTGAGATATGCGCCTTTAAACGGTCCTCCACCCACCAGCAGTTCCTCTTGAAGCTCACAGAAGTTTGAAAACGCAAATCTTATATTATTAAAATGCTCTTGAAATCTCCTACGAAACTATCTAACTTTTACTACTGTAGTTCAAAATTTAAGCGAGTTATGCGCCTTTAAAGTTGGACAAGAGACGCAGAGAAACGAGACCACTCTCGCTTCTCTGCGTCTCCCCCGGAGGAAAGGGGGGGGGATATTTAAAGGCGCATATCTCAAAAACTAGATTAGCTACAAAAAATCTGTCAATTGCAAAATTGCTCAGCATAAAATTTTACATATGTTTCATTTTACGAAAATTATCTAGCAATATTAGTTTTTGAGATATGCGCCTTTAAAGTTGGGGAACGTAACAAATGGTGAGAGGATCGGTCAAGTTTAAAGGCGCACATCTCTAGAGCCAAAAGAGCTATCAAAAAGTTGTCAACTAGAAAAATAAGTGAAATTTAATTTTAGGCAATTATAAATAAGAAAATCATACATTCTGCATGTTGATTTCTGTTCCAGTCAATGGGAAACAAGAAATCAATAAAAAAGTAGTATTACAAACAGGTATAGGATGTGAGATGGAAGTTGGAGAGACGAGGAACAAGTGTAAGTACTAAAAAAGGAAAAAAAAACGAGAGAGAAAACATACAAACAGAAAATATGGGAGGAGAGAACTAGGAAACTGAGGTCATCCGGTTTTTAGAGGCAAAAAAATAGAGAAGAGGTGTGTATGTACTTGAATTAGTGGGGAGGGAAGGGAAAATTCAGAAATTAGAGACTTGGAAATTTAAGAAAAAAAAGGTTTTGTAGAATTAGAAATTACCTCTCGAGTGGTATAAAAATCAAGGGGATCGGAGGCAAATTTAAAAAGTTACTGTTTTTTTTTTGAAAATTTACCAACTTTTAACTTTGAGCTTATATATCTCGGTTTAAGTGAAAGATATCAAAAAGTGATCAACTGACAAAATGTTTATCATATTATCAGCAACATTTTATCAGTTGACAACTTTTTGATACCTTTCACAAAAAACGAGATATATGAGCTCAAATTCTACAGTATAGAGGCTATTCTGTTTCAGGTTTTACAGAATTTTAGAAAGATTCAAAATGTTCTTAGTTGATGAAGTTTTTTCAATTTTTATATAAAATATATACAGTTCAAAACGTCCTTTAAAAGTGGTAAAAATTGCCAGATTTCGAATGAAAATGAAGAGAAAAAGAAGATTTCGAATTTTCATTAAAAGTGTAAAATGTACGTTTTTCAGAAATATTTGGGATTTTCTTGGATTCTGTTAAACTTGAATTTTGTGAAATTTGCTAAAACTACAAATGTTTAAAATCCGTGGAATTCCGTATCAATTGCTAAAAAAACATAAGCTCTAGGCTGAAAATTAAAATACTGTCAAAACTCTAATAGAGTGTTTACCCTTCCTTGCTTTGAACTTTGAGCTTATATATCTAATTTCTTGTGAAAGATATCAAAAAGTTGTCAACTAATAAAATGTTGCTGATAATATGATAAACATTTTGTTAGTTGGTACCTTTTTGATACCTTTTACAGTAACCGAGATATATGTGCTTAAAGTTGGCAAGTTCTTCTATTCAAGGTTTTAAGGAAGACACAGGCGACTGAGGTGCCTGCCCCAGACAACTTCAAAAAAGTTCAAAACATCAAAAAAAAATTTTTTCTAAAACTAGAAAAAATTTCCTATCGATCTGTATAATTTTCATAAAATTTGGATAACTAGGAAACAAGTTATGATTTTTTGAAAACAAAAGATTTCAAAAAAAATGTTTTTTTGTTGATAATTTGATAACTGACTAAAAATATGAACTTTTTTGAAAAAACAAGACATTTTGAAAAAAAATCCTCAAAATTCCTAAAAATTCAAGGATTCGAAATTGCGGGCCAGATTCTAGAATTGCTAAGTTACTACCACCTGAGCTGCGAAGCCGATTGAGTATTTTTAATTTTGAGCTAATTTATCTTGGTTTTTATGAGAGATATCAAAAATGTGTCAACTGACGAAATGTTTATCATAATATCAGCTACATTTTATTAGTTGATCACTTTTTGATATCTTTCACAAGAAACGAGATATATGAGCTCAAAGTTTATAGCGATGCAGCCACACGGTCGGCTGCCGACCTATGGAAAGGGGTACGGTAGGCAAAATAAAGTGTTTAAACACCTACCAAGCAAAAATGCGTACTATTTGAAAAGAACCTCAAAGAATCATTAAAATCGAAAATTCAAATCTTTCAAATCTAACGGAAAAGAGGAAATTGCTGTACGAACAGCTACACAGCCTCAATTGGCTGGTAATTGCACATACCCACATGAAAAAGAAGAAGAAAAAGAAAAAGGAGTACGGTTTTGATCGGTCATCAGGTAGATGCGAAGGAAGGGCTTTGAAGGCCTAAAACGGGCGGTACCAAAAAGCGAGGAAATAGTATGGGAATTAGGGGAGACGCAGAGAGAAGAGATTCCATTCGGAGCGACTTGTTGAAGGTCAAAAATGGAATGAAAGGAAGAGAAGACATAGATATGCATCCATGCAAATGTTTAGGCACTAAAATTCGGTGGGAATGGACAGAGAAATAAAAAAATTAGAATTGAAAAAAAAACATTTGGGTGGGCAAATAGAGGCAAAGCTAATGTTGATGGCCTTCGGTGAGATACCCCCTGAAGACCAAAAAGGCTTCAAATTTCAAAATTTTGATGTGAAATCAAAAAGTTGTTAACTATTAAAATAATGTGCATTAAATTCCACACATTTCTTTAGTTGATCAAATTTTTATAACTTTTCTGGTTTTTGAGATATGCGCTTTTGAAGTATAGGCACCCCCTGTCGACACTTGCCAACTTTAAAGGCACATAGGTCGAAAACGAAAAAAGCTATCAAAAAATTGATAATTACAAAAATAATTGGCTTGAAATTCTGAACATTTTAATAATTCACAAATTTTTGATAACTGGTTTCATTTTTGAGATATGCGCCTTTAAAGTTTTGAAGGCAACTAGACTCTTTCCTGCAAACCTGTAATAAAAGCGCCTCTAGCTTTGACCCAATTTATCTCGGTTACTGTAAGAGATATCAAAGAGTAGTCAGCTGATGAAATGTTGCTGATAATATGATAAACCTTTTGTTAGTTGGTACCTTTTTGATATCTTGTATAGGAAAGAAAAAAAATTGGCAGTACAGGGTTTCGGGTAGACACAGGCGTCTTAGGCGCTCCAGACAACTTAAAACAGTTAAAAAACTAGACATTTCATATTTTTCAAAAACTAGAGAAAATTTCCTATCGATCTGTATCCTTTTATCAAAGTTTGGTTCAATAGAAAGAAAGTTATAAGTTTTTGAAAAAAGAAAATTAAAGTTTTCGAAAAAAAATTTTTTGATAATTAGATAGCTGTCAAAAGATATAACATTTTTTGAATATTTGGGGCTTTCCAGTTCCGAAAAAAATGTCAAATATCTCTTATCATCTACACCTGATAGCTGATAAAAAAAAGACCAGAAATGAACGAAAAAGTGGACAAAGCAAAGATTTATGACCCTTCTCCTCCGAACCTACCCCCTATGGAGAAGGGAAATTCGATAAATCGAGGTGAGAAATGAAGAAAGAGAATGAGATTAGAATCATTTAAAAGAAAGAAGAAGAATGCAACAATTTATATGATCAAAGTGGTAAATAAAACTTTTTGGGGTTAGAGTGAAATATAGACGATTAGAATGAAACAAAAACGCCCTAGTTAGAAAAAACAGTCTTAACTTTTTTCAAAATTAATATTTTTTAACAATTCAAATTGATAAATGTAGCACTTGAGAAGCTCTACAAAATGATATATAATATTGACAGTTTATCATTTAATTGTTTCCACTAAAGACTCTTCAAAAAAGTACCCTGAAATGTCCAGGCAATCTAGGCAAGGTAGGCATGGCGGCTTGTTAGCCCCATAACTCTTTTCAAACTCAAAATTTCTGAATTGTTTTTGGTTTAAAATGTAGGTCTTGAAAAGTGCTACAAAATGATATAAACCATAAATAGTTTTAAAAAGTATCCTAAAATACTCTTATCCGGGCTAGTTAGGCCCTCGTTAGGCCGTAACCCCCTTTTAAATTCGAAATTATTTATTGATTTTTAATTTAAAGTGTAGGTCTTGAAAAGTTCTACGAAACCATATACAACATGAGTGGTTTATGTTTAACTACTCTGATTAGAGCCTTTAATTTAGAGGTACCTCAAAATAGTACCACGTTATCTAGCCAAGGTAGGCCTGGCGGCTTGTTATCCCCATAACTCCCTTCAAACTTTGAATTTGTAAAAAATCTAAATTGCATAATGTAGATATTAAAAAGTTCTAAATGTTGATATACAATTCAGTTAGTTTGACTTACCCAGTTTTTGTACAAAAGACAAGAAACATGAAGCCATAGAAAGCTGGTCAGTCTCAATAGTATCAATGCTTGTAAGCCTTGTAACTCGTTTCAAACTCAATATTTTTGAATAACTAAATTGAATTATGTAGATTTTAAAAAGTTCTACAAGATCAATCAAAATTAAAAATAGTGGAGCTACACACTTTGGGAGCAAAACAAAAGAAACTTTGCGTTATGGCAAGCTCATCTAGTAGCAAAGTTTGGCGAGTTCAAAAAATTATTTGATCTTTGAATTTGGCCTTTTATGACAATTGACCTTAAACAGCTCTATTAGCGGCGAAGGGGTTTAAATGAATAGTACTTGAAGTTCAGAATGGCTTCCAAATAAACAGTTTCAAACGAGAAGATGATGATAAACTTAAAAACAAGTAGAAAATCTACAAAAATCAAGATTCAGAAAAAAGTTCACAGCTAGTCTAGGTGGTCTGATTCACAGGATGTGTCCGAATGCAAATTGACCATAGAGAGGAAAGTGTATACATGTATATGTTGGTATAGGTATGTAGTCGTTGTTGGAGGCAAAGAATCGGAGGGAATTGGAACGGATGGATGCCTACGGACGGAATAGCAATGTAGCAGTGGCGGAGGGATGAACGGAAAATGACGCATTCGCGATTTTCGATTATTGTCTTTCTTTCTCTTTTGTCCTGAGAGGTATCTAGGGTGAAGTGAAATAAAATGAAAGTTATGGGAAATCCAAGGGAGGCTGGTGATGTCTAGGCCGCGGTCGGCCGTGGCCTAGAGAATTAGCTCACAGTTCTTCAAATTGCCTTAATATCTTAAAGCTTTTGATTGGGACATCTGGACAAACAGAGTTACAAATAGATCTAGAAAATCTTCTTAAAGTTTTGGTCCTAATGTAAGAATTGGATTTTCGAAATTAGGTCCGAAAATTGCCCAGTCCAGTTATCTCCAGAATTATGATCCTTTAAATTTTCAGATAATCCTGAATTCCCTTTTTTCTAAATTGAGAAAATTAGTCAAGTGAATCCAATTTGTCGAATTTTCACACTTTCTGAATTTTGCGTTATCTCAAAATTTCACATCTTCCCAAAATGTTGATTGTTATGTTCTAAATATTTCCTTCCCGTATTTCCGATGGGAGATGATGATGAACGTAATGGATAATAAAATTCAGAAGGTGTAGAAGAAGAAGAATCAGATGACGTCATTAGTAAACAGAGGAGGGAAATTAAAATTTGGAAGAAATTTGTGTTTTTTGGTGTTTTCCATTTTTTTTCAGGTAAACAATTTTGCCAAACTTGACAGGAATTTACAAAAAACTTGGAAATGGAATGTGACTAGAAAATCTAGAAATTTCAAACACTTTGGGGATCAACTCTCTTCAAATTCAAGGTTTTTGTACAAACTAAATTGTGATAAATAGGTCTTGAAAATTTCTACAAAATCATATAAATTTTGAAAAATTCTGAAAGATCCTATTGTCGTTAAAAGCCCAAGAAACATGACGCCATGGGAAACAGGTCGTCCCCAGTGGTATGACTGCTAGTAAGCTTTGTAACCCCCCACAAACTCAATATTTTTGAACAAACTAAAAACTGAAATGTAGCTCTTTACTAGTTCTACAAATTTATATAAAATTGTAATAATCCTCCTTTACTCAGATTTTGAGCAAACGCCAAAAAAGAGGCGCTATGGGGTCTTATAAGACTTGTAACTCGCTTCAAACTCAATGTTTTCAAACAAACTAAATTGTATTTAAAAAGAAGGTTTCAAAGAGCTCTACACAGTGATATAAAATTCAAGTAATCCTGAAATTCCCAGTTTTTGAGATTAAGGCAAGAAAGATGGCTCCAAATGAAGCAGGTTAGTAGCCAATGGTGGTGTTGCTTGTAAACCTTGTAACTCGCTTCAAACTCAATATATTAGAACAAACTAAAATGTGACAATTAGGACTTAAAAAGTTCTGCAAAACGATATAAAACTCATTTACTCAGACATAGCCGGTTTTTGAACAAGAGCCAAGAAACAGGATGCCATGGGAAGCAGCTCAATCACAAGGGTATCATTTCTCGTAAAGCTTACAACTTTCTTCAAACTCAACATTGTTGAAAAATCTAAATTGTAACATGTAGGTTGTAAAAAGCTATACAAAATAATATACAATTTAAAATTGAGAAGCTACAAAAATTAAAGAAAAACGCTCAAAATGGCAGAACAGAGAGCACCTATCACTCCACAGAATCTTCTGGTGATAGGATAGTCCAAATGATAACAGTATATGTATAGGATCTCGCTCTCCATAAATCACTTAATTAACCCTTTACGGTCCCATGGACCCTCCCTAGGACCGCCCGTGACGGATTCTTGTCCTTGATGAAGGGGAGAGATCATATCTTCTATTTTGTATTTCATTCGTCGGGGAGAGTGAGTGTGTGGGGTCCTAAACAACCCACTTACAATTCAATAAAACCTCCAGGTGACCTTGTATGGTCTATTGGTACGGAGACGGGACCATGAAAACAAAGGGGGGAAAGTGGCTATTAGGAGGGTAGGAGAGAATGCGGTAAAGAGTTTTCAGAAAAAGGGAGAAGGGACCTGAATGATTCAGAAGCAAATTCTGAGAATTCGGGAATTTGGAATACTGTAGGTCTCAAAAATTGTCATAACTTGGCTGGTTGTGATCTGAATTTTGTGAAACTTAGATTTTTAAGCTTGACGCGTTCTGGGCTTTCAAATAAGTATAATCTTGATCTATTTTCAAAGCTAAGCAATCCCAAAAATTGTCATAACTCGGCTAGTTTCTATCTAATTCTTATGTAACCTAGATTTTTGAATTTGCCGCTTTTTGGGCTATCGAATGTGTATAAACATGACCTATTGAAGCTATAGCGAATTTCAGATATTCCAGGTTTTTGGGAAACTATAAAACAAGACATTTTTTGCTTTAAAAAAAATACTGATTTATTGAAAGAGATCTTTAGAAACGCTGGATGAAGAGATACAGTATGACAGAAGAAATTGTGATGAGAAAGTTTTTGAAAAACGAGTTTTAGGCAACGACTCTCTTCTGAATCCGATGAGTTGGAATTCTGGGAATCTTGAAGGTGGTTACTGCATCCGACGTCTTCTTGTTGACCATCTCCTCCATTTTCATTGCTCGAATCTTGAGTAGAACCTTCTGGGCCAGTTCCTTGTGCTTCTTATCCTCCCGATACATTTTGACAAGCTTCTTGATCTCGAAAGCCTCTAATAAAGCCAGTGGGGTGTTCAGGTCCATCAGCATTTGAAGAGTTACAGTAACCTTCTTCTGGGCTCTCAGGTGGGTGACACAACGGAAGAGGTACTTGGCCATAGCGGATCCTGGAGTGGCCATTTTTGATTGATAGGGTGAGGTCTGGAATATCAAAGGAAAGTGAGAAAGTTGCAAACACTAAAACATCTCATTTCCTGTATCAAACAGTGGTCAACTGATAAAACGTAGCTGATATTATGATAAACATTTTATCAGTTGACAACTTTTTGATATCTTTTACAGGAAGCGAGAAAAAATGACTCAAAGTTGAAAGTTGAGACTGGCGTTCTCCGTCGATTAGCAGTGAGAGAAGATGAGAATGTCTTAAGGGGCGTGTCCAGGTGGTCCATTCCAGGTGGATAGAATCAATATCTTTGCCAGAGGGCAACGTGGGAGATTAGATACACTTACTTCCCCTAGGGAATACTAATTGACAGTATACATAGGTATTTCCAGAGTCCTCTTCACCTGGATACTGTCAATTAGTATTTCCGGAAGGCATCGAATCTCCCAAGTTTCCCTCTGACAAGGATAACTGGCTATACCCTAAAATACAGTATAATGGACCACTGGGAGACTCCCCACGAGGTTCGACACACCGTTGACACTATAATAGAAGGCCACCTAAACCCTCAACTTTGATCGCATATATTTCATTTCCTGTGAAGGATACTAAAAAGTGATCAACTGATAAAATGTTTGTCATATCATCAGCAACATTTCATCAGTTGACCAATTTATGCTATATTTCATAGGAAATGAGAAAAATTGGCTCAAAGTTGACAGGCGACTCTACTACATGCTTTAGGGTAAAAACAAGTGCCTGACATGCCTCAGACAAACTCAAAATTCAAAAATTTCGCATTATTCTGAAAATAGCAAAAAGTTCCTTATCGGTCTGTATAATTTTCATGGAATTAGGATCACTAGCAAAAAAGTGACGTCTATTCACATTTTGGGGTGTTCAGATGGTCCATTATGACGTATACCGTTGGGTATACTGTAGATAAAGCAAGTATTCTTGCCAGAGGGAAACTAGGGAGATTAGATACTTTCTACAGTAGTACTTCCCTCAGACCATGGTAATTGACATATTCCCAGGTGGGCTAACTCCTCTTCACCTCAAACAAACATGGACCACCTGAAACCGCCCCATGGGATACAAGTATGAACCCACCGTATGGTACCTATGGTCAAAAAGCGCTTCTACTTAACAGCGAAGGTCTTCTTCCGGATTCTTGGGATTCTGAAGCCATCGGTGTCCAGCGTCTCCCGTGTAGCACGTCCTTTCTCCTCCACCTTCATCTGCCGGATCTTCTGAAGCACTTTCCGCGCGGATTCTTTGTATTCTGGGTCTTCAGCATATCTCTTGACCAGTTCCTTGATTTCGAACACTTCTAACTCACTTTACTGCTTCTCTCACTTTACTGCTAATCCACAGATATTTCAGATCCAATCCTAAATTTCACAATGGCCACTCCAGGATCCGCAATCTCCAAGTACGTCTTCAGATGCTCAACACATCTGAGAGCCCAGAAGAAAGTCAAAGTCACCCTACAAATGCTAATGGATCTGAAGACCCCACTGGCGGTGTTAGAAGTGTTCGACATCAAGGAACTGGTCAAGAGATATGCTGAGAATCCAGAATACAAGGAATCCGCGCGGAAGGTGCTCCAGAAGATCCGGCAGATGAAGGTGGAGGAGAAGAGACGAGCTACGCGGAAGACGTTAGACGCCGATGGCGTCAGAATCCCAAGAATTCAGAAGAAAACCATCGCTGTTAAGTAGAAGCGCTTTTGAAGCCAAATTTTTCGTTTTTTTTTCATTTTTCATCATTATTTTCTTCGTTGGTTGTATTTTACAGTATCCTCATGATCTCCCTTTTTTCTTATTTTTTTCATATTTCATGTTCGATAGCTTCCTTAAAGATCCCGTTTCAATAAATCTGATAATTTTCAAAATTTGTTCTTTAAAAACTTTTTTAGAATCAAAAAATTATTTCCAGCTATTTTCAGCGATTCTAAATTTTCGAATTCCCCACTTTTCTCGATTTTCAGCTAGATTTTTCAAATTCCCTCCTATTTCTTTTCTGGGTCTCGCCACGTATTTATTTGCCACGTTTCTTTTTTGGGTTTTCAACCCAATTTTTCGGCAGAATTTTCTGTTTTTGAAGGCTCCACGACTCGAACATGCTCATGTTAGCTGATTGGTATCATAAGGTGGGTGAATATTTTTTGGAATTTCAGATTTTTTAAAAAGAAAATTTTTTTGAAATTTTTTTTGTAAGTTTTTAATATATGAATTTTTCTTCTATGATTTTGTCTTGGTTTCTATAGCGAACAGCGATTTTTGCGAGCTGAAATAGCTAATTTTTAAGATTTCGGCGGTTTTTTAAAGTAAATTTTTGGTTTTTAGAGCGTAAATCTTCAATTTTCGCACTTCCAAACGGTAATTCGGCTTTCTAGACGTTTTTGAAAGCAATTTTCAGCAAAAATCCATGTTTTGCCGCAAAATTAAGAAATTTTAGTGAAAATTAGTATTTTTTCCTACTTTGCAAGTTTTTGTTCGAATTGTAGCATTCCCAAGCGATAATTCGGCTTTTTCTTGACGCTTCTGAATGTCTGAAAATAGGAAAAACTTGAAGACAGCAATTTTTAGCGAAATTTCAACGTTTTAGTGAAAATTAGCGTTTTTCTGATTTTCTTCGAATTTTAGCATGTTTTTGTCTGAATTTTTGCGTTCCTGGCCGATAATTCGGCTCTTTCGACGCTTCTGAATGTCTGAAAATACAAAAAACCTGAAAAATAAGCGTTTTTTGGCAAAAAATCTATATTTTAGAACGGATTTTTGAAACTGCCACCACTGGAAAACCGAGAGAACAACTAGCTCGCGAAGAGACGCAGACAGAAAACTAAAGGCGCATCTCGGCAATTCTTCCACGGGGTCTCGCAGCGCCCGATGGAAAAATGGAAAGACGAGAGCGAGCGGGTGGCCGCAGAGACCGAAAATCGATCTTGTATCTCTATATTTTAGTCGTTGATTCTCTCTCGGCGACCCCCAACCGTTTTGCAATGCTATAAAGTTGGAATTTCAGCGGATATTTCTTTATGTTACTTGTTTGTGTACTGCTAGAAAAGTGCTATAAATCCTCGCCTTCCAAAGGAGTACGGTAGATTTTGGCGATCTCATATTTTTCATAAAATTCTTGATTTTTTTCTCTTGAAATTCTTCCTTTTCATTCCTTTTTTGAGTATTTTTTGCATTGGATACAAGTCTTAAGGAACTCATAAAATTGCAAGGTTCAGCCAAAAAGAAAAAAGAGCAAAGACCAAAAACCAAAAATTATTGATTTTCGGCCTTTTTCGCCCTTTTTTGCTACTGATAAGCGAATTTATGAATTTCGAAGAAAAAATTTACTGAGCTTGTGATTTTTCGTTAATTTTTGCTTGTTTTTTCGCCATTTTTCAATTTCCACAGGTCTCAAAAAAGTCAAAAAGTTGCGCAACGCAGCCAAAGAAGGAAAGATCAAAAACCAGAAACTATTGATTTTTAGCCTTTTTCGCCTTTTTCTCGGTACTGATGAACGAACTTAAAAAGTAAAGACCGTCATCTGAAAATACCGGAAATTCCAGTCATTTTGGTCCAAAAATCATCTTTCTAGGTTAATTTTGAAGAAAGTTATGAGCGTTTTTAGTTTTACTGAGGCTTAGGAAATCTTACTGAGGCTTAGGATTTTTTACTGAGGATTAGAAGTTTTTACTGAGGCTTAGGATTTCCACTGAGGCTTAGGAATTTTACTGAGGCTTAGGATTTTTACTGAGGCTTGAGAATTTTTACTGAGGCTTAGAAAATTTTTTACTGGGGCTTAGGATTTTTACTGAGGCTTAAGAATTCCGTTCGTTTTTTCGTCGTTTTTGCTCGTTTTTTCGCCATTTTTCTTAGTTTTTCTGTTATTCCCTCCTTCTAAAAACACCTTTCCAGCCTAGAAAAAGATGTCGTACGACTTGGAAACCGCTGAGCACGCCGCTTATGCTCCATTCTTCGGCTACATGGGCGCCGCCTCCGCCCAGATCTTCACCGTCCTGGGAGCCGCCTATGGAACCGCCAAGTCGGCCGTCGGAATCTGCTCAATGGGTGTGATGCGTCCAGAGCTGATCATGAAGTCTGTGATCCCAGTAATTATGGCCGGTATCATTGGTATCTACGGTTTGGTCGTCGCCATGGTCTTGAAGGGTAAGGTTCAAGCGGCATCGGCAGGATACGATCTCAACAAGGGATTCGCTCATTTGGCCGCTGGTTTGACCTGTGGACTCTGTGGATTGGGAGCCGGATACGCTATCGGAATCGTCGGAGACGCTGGAGTCCGTGGAACCGCCCAACAGCCACGTCTCTTCGTCGGAATGATCCTTATTCTTATCTTCTCCGAAGTCTTGGGACTCTACGGAATGATCGTCGCCCTCATCCTTGGAACTTCTTAATTTTCCTTCCTTTTTCTTTTTCATTTTTTTCTAATTTGTCCGTCTGTGAAACACAAAAAACATTCCTACTTTCCTCTCTAGGAGTCTCTCCCTTTTCTTTCTTAGAAATCCTTCTTTCTTAGAAAATTTTTTTTTTCTTAAATTTCCTCTGTTAACAATGAGGAAAAACTTCTATTTTGCCCCTTTATCTTTGCTACTTCCTCGCCTCTTTCGTTTTTTCGTAAATTGTGAATATCTATGTTATTTTGAATTGAAAATAAAAATAAAATTTTAGGCTCAACGGATCACGATGTCGTCGGCGGCGACATCCGGCGAGTACTGGCTCATCTCGGTGCCCGGCGAGAAGGGAGCCAACGACGCGTGGGACAAGCTGAACCGGGCCACTGGCAATATTTCGACCAACTCGAAATATTTGATTCCCGATTTGAAGGTGAGCTAGCTCTAGAAAATCTCGAACTAAATCGCGCTAAAATCCCTGAAAATCAGTCGATCTAAGTGAAAATTCCCATTTTCCCAGGTGGGAACCCTAAAAACGTAGAAAACTGCCTAGAAATTCTATGAACATCGCTTAAAACCCTCGAAAAATTAGCTCAAAATTCCCATTTCCAGACCTTGTTCCAATTTATAGCTGAAAATATGGACCAATTTCTCTATTAAAACGCTTAAAATCACCTAAAATAAGCTCTGAAACGACCCAATTAAGCCCCGAAATGGCCCAAAATTAGCTTAAAATCACCCGAAATTAGCTCTAAATCACCAAAAATAAGCCCGATATCACTCAAAATTAGCTCTAAATGAACCAAAACTAGCTCTAAATGACCCAAAATACGCTCAAAATCCCCATTTTTCTTGGTCAGGACCCTAAAAGCTTCGAAAATGCCTGCGATTCTCGTTCAGAATTCCTCTAAATCCACCTGGGAACGCTCAAAATGACCCAAAACAAGCTTAAAATCCCAGCTTCCAGGTCGGAACCCTCGACCAACTCGTCGGCCTCTCTGACGATTTGAGCAAGTTGGACACCTCGGCCGAGGGAGTTATCCGCAAACTCGTGCAATACTTCACCGAAGTGCTCGAAGAGGACAAGAGCAAGATTGCCGAGAATTTGGTCATTGGAAATAGTAAGACCCCCTATTAGAAGGCCTAGGCTCTAATACGATTCATTTAGAGGACATGAAGACATACGTGACCAAATTCCAATGGGAAGGAGCCAAGTATCCGTTGAAGCAGTCGCTTAAGGTGCTCAGCGAGATCATTGGCAAACAAATCACCCAGATTGATAACGATCTGAAGATGAAGTCGTTGGCGTACAACAATTTGAAGAACGCACTGGCTTCGATGGATCGTAAGACCACTGGATCTCTGTTGACTAAGGATTTGGCGGATTTGGTCAAGGCTGAGGACTTTGTACTCAATTCTGAGTATTTGCAGACTATCATTGTCGTTGTACCGAAGTTAGTAGCTATCTAGCTGGTAAATCATAATTCTAAAACGTCTAAATTCCAGAATCCTGGTCAAAGAATGGGAAACCAAGTACGCGACACTGTCCTCGATGGTCGTTCCAGGATCGTCGAAGCTGCTTACCGAGGAAGGAGAGCACGCGTTGTACACCGTCACTCTCTTCAAGAAGGTCATCGACGAGTTCAAGAATATCGCCCGCGAGAACAAATTCATCGTTCGTGACTTTGTCTACGATGAGGAGACGTTGAAAGCAGGTGCGGTTTGTAGCACCACTTTATCTGAAGGAACCGAAAAAATTGAGCTAGAAATAGTCCTAGAATTGGCTCAAAGCTAAAAATTGAGGTGCCCTTTTATTACAGGTTTTAGGGTTACATACTTCGGATCAAGATATTCTGCTAGTTTTCCTGATCATTTTGGTGGTTGAATCACTTTTCTAGGTCGACTTTGAACCGAGATATGACCAATTCAAGTTTTACTGAGGCTTAGGAGTTTTAGCCTCAGTAAAAATTCCTAAGCCTCGGTAAGAATCCCTTTAGCCTCAGTAGAACTAAAATCGCTGTAACTTTGTTCAAAATTACCCTAGAATAGTGATTTAGGTACCAAAATGACGGAAATTAACTGTGAAATCATTTTCCAGGTCGAACGGAACGAGACAAGTTGTTGGCCGAGAAGCAGAAGCAGTACGCTCCACTGATCCGTTGGTTGAAAATCAATTTCGGTGAGATCTTCTCCGCCTACATCCACATCAAGGCTCTTCGCGTCTTCGTCGAGTCGGTGCTCCGCTACGGACTTCCAGTGAACTTCCAGGCGGCTGTCATTGAGCCAGCGAAGGGACAATCAAAGAAATTGAGACAGGAACTACAGAAGTTGTATATTCATTTGGATGGCTCGGCTGCAGGACCTATTGATGTAAGGATCCTTTTAACTGTTTTATGAATTTCGGAATCTTTAATTTTCAGACCCTGGAAGACTCGCCAGCACTCATGTCGCTCGGTGTCAACGAATACTATCCATACGTCTTCTTCAAATTGAATATCGATTTTTCGAATAAATAAGGACCTAATTTTGCTGCTGCTGCTTCTCCTGATTAACTTCTGTACACATTCCTCTCTCGCCCCCCTTTGAATTTAACTCTGTGATAGCTCCGCCCCCTTTTTCTTTATTCTATGACAAAAATATAACGAAAATTTCTATTTCCTTTATAGTGAGCAGTTTTTTGTAGTGTGTAATTTAGAGCCAATTGTACCCCCAATTTTTTTCACTTAAGCTCGTTTTTGCCTTCATCTTTTCTTCAAAAATCCCCGTTTTATCCCGAATTTCCGATTTTTAATGGAAATTTCTAATTCCCCCCAGCCTCTTGGCCTTTCCTCCAACCAGTCGATTTACTACATTCCATAAATAAATGTATACTCTATTCATAGAGCTATCTCCTTCTTTTCTCTGCGTCTCTTTCATGCTCCATCTCTCTCTCGTCTCTCGTTGCCTAGACGACGTTACGGGGGGGTTTAGAAGACGTCGTCTGGGAATTGATTTTCTACTCTGCTCTAAAATGGCAGAAGTATTCGTTTCTGGAATCATCGCCTCGGCGAGAGGCTTCGGCGATAATCGATTATCGATTAGGTATCAATTGAGTGTGGGTGAGTTAGAGTAAGTCACGTGGATTCCGCAAAATGGCTCGAAACTTTAATTTTTACTGAAAAATGGACAATTTTCCTGAATCTTTGCACAATTTTTACCGTTTTTTTTCGACGTAAATCGAGGAAAAGTGAATTAAAATGATAAAAATCGTCTGAAAATTGAAAAATTAGGCTCGAAATTCAAATTTTTCACTAAAATGTGAATTTTATGTCTATTTTCTCGATTTTCTGACGACTTTCACCGTTTTTTAAATGTAAATCGAGGAAAAGTGAATTAAAATAATGAAAAGCATTGAAAACGATTTTCACAGTTTTTTTTCGATTGAAATTGTGAGAAAACGAGCTAAAATGATGGAAATCGTCGAGAAACTCTGAAAAATGTGCTCGAAATTGGAATTTTTGACTGAACATTTGAATTTTATTTTGCTATTTTCTCAATTTTTCAACGATTTTCAAAGTTTTCTAAAATGTAAATCGGGAAAAAATGATTAAAAGTGTTGAAATTCGTCTGAAAACTGAGAAAATTGAGCTGGAAATTCGAATTTTCGACTGAAAACTTGAATTTTGATTTTGTATTTGCTCAATTTTTGAACGATTTTCACCGTTTTTTTTCCACTGAAAATCGTCAAAAAATTGGAAAAAGGCTCGAAATTCGAATTTTTGACTAAAAATTTCAGAATTTTAAAAATTTTTGCAGGCGGTGGTTGGAGAATCGTCCAAGGAGAAGGCGAGGGACAAACTCAGACGGACTGCCCGTCGGTGTTCGAAAATGCCTATTTTGGGCATCCAATCGATTTGCATTTGGCTACGAGCAGTATTCAGGGTATGCTGAAAATCTGGAAATCCCGAAAAAACGGGAAAATTTGAGCGAAAATAGCTTAAAATTCGTTTGAAAACGAATTTACGAAAATAATTTTTTAAAGCCTCAGTGAAAAATTCCTAAGCCTCAGTAAAAATTCCTAAGCCTCAGTAAAATTTCCTAAGCCTCAGTAAAACTAAAATCGCCATAACAATCTTCAAAATTAACCTAAAAAGATGATTTTTGGACCAAAATGACTGGAATTTTTACTAAAATAATTTGCAAAAAGTTTATTTTTACATTTTCAAAAAAAAACCTTGAAAAAGTTATTTTTCAATAAAGTCAAGCTATCTGCTATCTTTTTTGATTATAGCGCACTTTCTTCCCTCTCAATTTTTGAAATTTTTAAAACATTTCTAGGTTGGCCCCGCCTCCTGATCCAAATCTGGCACCACGACAATTACGGGAGGCAGGAGATTGCGGGTTACGGTACTTTGCTCCTGCCAACGTCTCCAGGAAAACATGTATTGACTTCTGGATGTTGGCGTCCGAAAGGAAGTTGGAGAGAGGAAATGATGCATAAATTGGTTGGCGGTGGGCTTCAGGTAAATACAAAATTCTAGAATTTTTTTTTCTAAAAATTCAAAATCTCTTTTCAAAATTTTGGTAAATTACAATTTCTAGAATTTTTCAGAATTTTTTTCGAAATTTCTTGAAAAAAATTTTCCAAAAAAAAAGAGTATAATTCAAAAATTTAATTTCAGCTAACCAGTCTGAGTGCCCTTGAGGATCCAACAATTCGTGAGAAGATAATCAGTGTGTCTGCTGGAACTGTCCGTTTCGAGCTCAACATAATTACCAAGAATTTCTCGAGATATGGAATTTTGAGCTAATTTAATCTTTTTTGAGTCAGTTATGTTTTTTTTTTAAATAAATTTCTTATTTTTTTTAGCTCAATTTTTGAAATAAACTTTTATTTTCGCAAAATCGGAAATCTCTAGATTTTTCCAGATTTTTTAAATTTTCCAAATTCCAGATTCTTGGATTTTGGCAAAATTTAAGATTTTTAGAAAATTCAGATTTTCCAAAATTTTTGAAATTCCATGTTTTTGGAGTTTCCGAAATTTTCAAATTTTAGTTTTTCCTAGTTTTTTTTCAGAATTTCAGACATTTTTGGATTTTCAGAACCATCTCAGGTTTTCTGTTTTTTTCAGCTTTAGGGATTTTCAGATTTTCTGAAATTCCAGATACTTGGATTTTCCAGATTTTCAGAATATTCTACGCTCAGAATCCCAAAAGCATAATATTTCCCGATTTTGTGCATTTTTTCGATTTTAAGTGTTTTTCAATATTTATCAAATTCCAGGTTCCCAGATTTTCTGAATTTTCAAAAATTCAGATTCTTGGATTTTCCACAATTTCAAAATTTCAAAAGATTCAGATTTCTAGATTTTCCACATTTTCAGAATTTTTCAGATTTTCAGAATTTCAGAACTTTTCCAAATTTCAGATTCTCGGATTTCCCAGAATTTCAGAATTTTCCAGATTTTCCGAACGCAAAGTTTTTCAGATTTCCTGAATTTTTAGAACTCCAGAACATTCAGATTCCTAGATTTTCCGTTTTTCCGGAATTGAATTGCGGGCTAGTTTCAGATTTTCAGAATTTTTTAATTTTGCAGAATTCCAGATTTTCAGATTCCTAGATTCTTAGATTTTATAGTTTTGACGAATTGCTTGCCAGTTTCACAGGCTTTCAGAGTTTTCCAGATTTTCAGAGTTTTTGAATTTTCAGAATTCCTGGAATGTCAGATTCTCAGATTTTGAGCATTTTCCAGATTTTCAGAATTTTTGAATTTTCAGAATTTTTGAACTTTCAGAATTCTGTAGATTTTCAGAGTTTTTGAATTTTCAGAATTCCTCGAATGTCAGATTCTCAGATTTTGAGCATTTTCCAGATTTTCAGAATTTTTGAATTTTCAGAATTTTTAAACTTTCAGAATTTTGTAGATTTTCACAGTTTTTGAATTTTCAGAATTCCTCGAATGTCAGATTCTCAGATTTTGAGCATTTTCCAGATTTTCAGAATTTTTGAATTTTCAGAATTTTTGAACTTTCAGAATTTTGTAGATTTTCAGAGTTTTTGAATTTTCAGAATTCCTCGAATGTCAGATTCTCAGATTTTGAGCATTTTCCAAATTTTCAGAATTTTTGAATTTTCAGAATTTTTGAACTTTCAGAATTTTGTAGATTTTCAGAGTTTTTGAATTTTCAGAATTCCTCGAATGTCAGATTCTCAGATTTTGAGCATTTTCCAAATTTTCAGAATTTTTGAATTTTCAGAATTTTTAAACTTTCAGAATTTTGTAGATTTTCAGAGTTTTTGAATTTTCAGAATTCCTCGAATGTCAGATTCTCAGATTTTGAGCATTTTCCAGATTTTCAGAATTTTTGAATTTTCAGAATTTTTAAACTTTCAGAATTTTGTAGATTTTCAGAGTTTTTGAATTTTCAGAATTCCTCGAATGTCAGATTCTCAGATTTTGAGCATTTTCCAAATTTTCAGAATTTTTGAATTTTCAGAATTTTTAAACTTTCAGAATTTTGTAGATTTTCAGAGTTTTTGAATTTTCAGAATTCCTCGAATGTCAGATTCTCAGATTTTGAGCATTTTCCAAATTTTCAGAATTTTTGAATTTTCAGAATTTTTGAACTTTCAGAATTTTGTAGATTTTCAGAGTTTTTGAATTTTCAGAATTCCTCGAATGTCAGATTCTCAGATTTTGAGCATTTTCCAAATTTTCAGAATTTTTGAATTTTCAGAATTTTTGAACTTTCAGAATTTTGTAGATTTTCAGAGTTTTTGAATTTTCAGAATTCCTCGAATGTCAGATTCTCAGATTTTGAGCATTTTCCAGATTTTCAGAATTTTTGAATTTTCAGAATTTTTGAACTTTCAGAATTTTGTAGATTTTCAGAGTTTTTGAATTTTCAGAATTCCTCGAATGTCAGATTCTCAGATTTTGAGCATTTTCCAAATTTTCAGAATTTTTGAATTTTCAGAATTTTTAAACTTTCAGAATTTTGTAGATTTTCAGAGTTTTTGAATTTTCAGAATTCCTCGAATGTCAGTTTCTCAGATTTTGAGCATTTTCCAAATTTTCAGAATTTTTGAATTTTCAGAATTTTTGAACTTTCAGAATTTTGTAGATTTTCAGAGTTTTTGAATTTTCAGAATTCCTCGAATGTCAGATTCTCAGATTTTGAGCATTTTCCAAATTTTCAGAATTTTTGAATTTTCAGAATTTTTGAACTTTCAGAATTTTGTAGATTTTCAGAGTTTTTGAATTTTCAGAATTCCTCGAATGTCAGATTCTCAGATTTTGAGCATTTTCCAAATTTTCAGAATTTTTGAATTTTCAGAATTTTTGAACTTTCAGAATTTTGTAGATTTTCAGAGTTTTTGAATTTTCAGAATTCCTCGAATGTCAGATTCTCAGATTTTGAGCATTTTCCAAATTTTCAGAATTTTTGAATTTTCAGAATTTTTGAACTTTCAGAATTTTGTAGATTTTCAGAGTTTTTGAATTTTCAGAATTCCTCGAATGTCAGATTCTCAGATTTTGAGCATTTTCCAGATTTTCAGAATTTTTGAATTTTCAGAATTTTTAAACTTTCAGAATTTTGTAGATTTTCACAGTTTTTGAATTTTCAGAATTCCTGGAATGTCAGATTCTCAGATTTTGAGCATTTTCCAGATTTTCAGAATTTTTGAATTTTCAGAATTTTTGAACTTTCAGAATTTTGTAGATTTTCAGAGTTTTTGAATTTTCAGA